CTTTTTGAAGGAAAAATCTTCGAAAATTTTGTAAATTTCTTTAGGCCTTTAACCTTACCGTTTTTCAAAAAATTTTCCTCTAAAAAACTCTCTACTTTCTTCAAAAAAAAGGTTTTTATGCCAGTTATGAGCACATATCTTGTTTATCATGATCAATAAGATGAAAATCACGTTGCTTTTAGAAGGAAAAATCTTCGAAAATTTTGTCGATCTTTCTAAGCCTATAATCTTACCTTTTCTTCAAAAATTGTTTCTTCAAAAAACTCGGTACTTCTTTCAAAAATCGTGTTTTTATGCCACTGTTGAGCACATACCTTGTTTATCATGATCAATAAGATGAAAATCACGTTGCTTTTTGAAGGAAAAATCTTCGAAAATTTTGTAAATTTCTTTAGGCCTTTAACCTTACCGTTTTTCAAAAAATTTTCCTCTAAAAAACTCTCTACTTTCTTCAAAAAAAAGGTTTTTATGCCAGTTATGAGCACATATCTTGTTTATCATGATCAATAAGAAATAAATCAAGTTGCTTTTAGAAGGAAAAATCTTCGAAAATTTTGTCGATCTTTCTAAGCCTATAACCTCACCTCATTTTCAAACATTGTTCCTTCAAGAAACTCGGTAGTTTTTTCAAAAGAAGGGTTTTTATGCCAGTGATAAGCACATATCTTGTTTATCATGATCAATGAGATGAAAATCACGTTGATTTAGAAAGAAAAATCTTCGAAAATTTTGTTGATTTTTCTAAGCCTATAACCTCACCTTATTTTCAAAAATTGCTCCTTCAAAAAACTCGGTACTTCTTTCAAAAATAGGGGTTTTTATGCCAGTTATGAGCACATACCTTGTTTATCATGATCAATTAGAAATAATTCAAGTTGCTTTTAAAAGGAAAAATCTTCGAAAATTTTGTCGATTTTTCTAAGCCTACAATCTTGACTTTTTTTCGAAAATTGTTCCTCCAAAAAACTCTGTACTTTTTTCAAAAAAGGGTTTTTATGCCAGTTATGAGCACATATCTTGTTTATCATGATCAATAAGAAATAAATCAAGTTGCTTTTAGAAGGAAAAATCTTCGAAAATTTTGTCGATCTTTCTAAGGCTATAACCTTACCTTTTTTTCAAAAATTGTTCCTTCAAAAGACTCGGTACTTTTTTCAAAAAAAAGGGGTTTTTATTCCAGTGTTGAGCACATATCTTGTTTATCATGATCAATAAGATGAAAATCAAGTTGCTTTTAGAAGTAAAGATCTTCGAAAATTTTGTCGATCTTTGTAAGCCTATAACCTTACCTTATTTTCAAAAAATTTTTTCTCCAAAAACTCTGTACTTTTTTCAAAAAAGGGTTTTTATGCCAGTTATGAGCACATATCTTGTTTATCATGATCAATAAGAAATAAATCAAGTTGCTTTTAAAAGGAAAAATCTTCGAAAATTTTGTCGATTTTTCTAAGCCTATAACCTTGACTTTTTTTCGAAAATTGTTCCTCCAAAAAACTCTGTACTTTTTTCAAAAAAGGGTTCTTATGCCAGTTATGAGCACATATCTTGTTTATCATGATCAATAAGAAATAAATCAAGTTGCTTTTAGAAGGAAAAATCTTCGAAAATTTTGTTGATCTTTCTAAGCCTATAACCTTATCTTTTTTTCAAAAATTGTTCCTTCAAAAAACTCGGTACTTCTTTCAAAAATAGCGGTTTTTATGCCAGTGTTGAGCACATACCTTGTTTATCGTGATCAAAAAGATGAAAATCAAGTTGCTTTTAGAAGTAAAGATCTTCGAAAATTTTGTCGATCTTTCTAAGCCTATAACCTTACCTTTTTTTCAAAAATTGTTCCTTCAAAAAACTCGGTACTTCTTTCAAAAATAGGGGTTTTTATGCCAGTGTTGAGCACATACCTTGTTTATCATGACCAATAAGATGAAAATCAAGTTGCTTTTAGAAGGAAAAATCTTCAAAAATTTTGTCGATTTTTATAAGCCTATAACCTTACCTTATTTTCAAAAATTGTTTCTTCAAAAAACTCGGTACTTTTTTCAAAAATAGGGGTTTTTATTCCAGTGTTGAGCACATATCTTGTTTATCATGATCAATAAGATGAAAATCAAGTTGCTTTTAGAAGTAAAGATCTTCGAAAATTTTGTCGATCTTTCTAAGCCTATACCCTTACCTTATTTTCAAAAATTTTTTCTTCCAAAAAACTCGGTACTTCTTTCAAAAAAGGGTTTTTATGCCAGTTTGAGCACATATCTTGTTTATCATGATCAATAAGAAAAAATCAAGTTGCTTTTAGAAGGAAAAATCTTCGAAAATTTTGTCGATTTTTATAAGCCTATAACCTTACCTTATTTTCAAAAATTGTTTCTTCAAAAAACTCGGTACTTTTTTCAAAAATAGGGTTTTATGCCAGTGTTGAGCACATACCTTGTTTATCATGATCAATAAGATGAAAATCAAGTTGCTTTTAGAAGGAAAAATCTTCGAAAATTTTGTCGATTCTTTCTAAGCCTATAACCTTACCTTATTTTCAAAAAAATTGTTCCTCCAAAAAACTCTGTACTTTTTTCAAAAATAAATGAGGTTTTTATCATGCCAAGGTTCGAAAATCTTGAAAAGCTAACCATATCTTGTTTATCGGTTTTTATGCCAGTGTTGAGCAATAATGAAGATGAAAATCAAGTTGCTTTTAAAAGTCGAAAAATCTTTCGAAAATTTCAAAAATGTCGATGTTTATCTAATGACCTATAACCTTTTAAGCCTATAACCTTACCTTATTTTCAAAAATTGTTTCTTCAAAAAACTCGGTACTTTTTTCAAAAATAGGGGTTTTTATGCCAGTGTTGAGCACATACCTTGTTTATCATGACCAATAAGATGAAAATCAAGTTGCTTTTAGAAGGAAAAATTTTCAAAAATTTTGTCGATTTTTATAAGCCTATAACCTTACCTTATTTTCAAAAATTGTTCCTTCAAAAAACTCGGTACCTTTTTCAAAAATAGGGTTTTTATGCCAGTGTTCTTGTTTATCATGATCAATAAGATGAAAATCAACTGCTTTTAGACGAAAAAAGTTTCAAAAATTTCGATATAATTGCTAGGTTTTTAGCCTTACTTTTTGAGAAAATTTTATGAACCCAACAAGTCATTATTTCTACAAAAAACGACTTTTATTTTAGTTCTAATTACAATTCTCGTTTCTCAGGATCAATAAGATAAACATCAAACTGCTTTCTGAAGAAAAAGGCTTTCGAAAATTTTGATGATTTTTGTTAGTATATAGCCTTGCTTTTTTATCAAAAATTGATTTTTCCAAAAGTTTTTTTTTCTAAGAAAAATCTTTTCAGCATAATTTTTGTTTATTTATATCAAATCGACGAAAATAAAGCTGCTTTTGGAGGAAATTGTGTTTGAAAGTGTTGATGATTTGCTAAGCCTTTTGCCTTACATTTTTTTCAAAAGCTGACCTTTCCCAAAATTCGTTGTAACAGATGTAAGCTGTCTTTTGAAGAAACAAGGTTTGGAGGTGTAGACGATTTTTGGGCCTATAACGTTAATTAGACTTTCATTCCAGACTTGACTTAAATTCCTTTAAATTCGGATCAATATGAATCTGCTTTAAGAAGAAAAGCTTTTTCAAACTTTCGTAGATTATTGTAAGCCTTATCTTTTGATTAAGCTTTGTTTCATTCAAAAAATTGTTTTTGGTTCAAAAACCGTCTTTAATTCCTAATATGGTCACTATACTTGTTTATCGTAACGAAATAGAGGAAAGTTAGTCTATTTTTCAAGGAAAGAGTTACCCTTACCTCTTGATCATAAATAAAATTGTATATTTGATGAGTTTTTTATTCTGGCTGGTTTTGGGAAGAGGTAAGACTATGGCTATTGAAATGGAGCATTTATTCAAAGAAAATGATCTTATTTCTAGGGATTGGATTAGACCCAAAGAGGCTGGATAAAGAGCTATGTTTCTTCTAAACTTACTAGGAACTTTTATTTGGTCATTAACAAGAGATTTTGAGGCTGCCAAATCTACGGAAAAGGTAAGCCTATATCCATTGAAATGGCGCACCTTGGCAGTGAAAAATAATCTTGTTCTTAAGGACTCAAATAGACGTAAAGAGGATAGAACAGAGACAGATAACCGCTTAATAATCTTTCAGAATTTTTACGTGATATTTCATGAGATTGTTTTGAGCTTGCTTTGAACTCAGTTGTCTTAGAGATTATGACTCGACCTTTGATTAAAGTTTGAGGGTCTGCCCATCTTGGAAAATGGTGACCCAATAGGGTTGAACAAATCTTTCAAAATTGATTTAATCATGGAGAATGAGCAGGTAAATATTTCTTTATTAACCACTACTGAAAAATGACTCGCTATCTTCAATAGAAATTGGTGTGGTCTAAGAAACTCAACTTTCGGCTACCCATGCATATCCTCGTCTCCGTTCCATGAAACAGAGTATTCCGTTACGATTCTCTACGCTTCATGCTAATGAAGGGCAAAGAAAATATGCAAAGACATTCCTCGTGGAAAGTATTTTTAAAAAAAGAGTTGTTCTTACAGTTGTTTACATATAACATACATACCTGTTTATGGTATTCGATAAGGTGCGAAGTATTCGAGCATTGGAATTTTCGTAGGGGAGTAAGTAAGAGAGTGAATGGAAATTTAAAAGGATTGCTTATCATTCCCCTTCAGATTTGGAGAGCAGCACAGATTGCAAATGGAGCCCAAAGGCTACTCCTTATTGGTAAGCACCAGGCCTGCAAAAGGAATAAATTCTGAGTCCCTTCTGTTTTATCATCTAAAATTCCATTTTCTGGCTGGGAATGGGACAAAAAATACAAGATATGATGACACATTGCCTTACTTAATCAATCATAAGGGTTTCTTCTTTTTATTTTTCAATGTTAATTAAAACAGCAAATAGTTATCTTATTGTCAAAAAGAATCACCCCCCCCCCCCCCCTAGAGTGATCAGCAAAAGTGAATATGATAGGAAAAACCACTCTGATGTATTTATTTGCACTTCATACATTTCTCACGACTAAAATATGTGCACAGATGCATGACAATTTTCAGCAGCATTGTGTGAAAGTATTAAATAAAAACTTAATTCAATTTATACAAGTAAAAGGTTGGATTTTCGAAGACTTTGGTGAAATATTTTGAAAAGCTTTTGTCGTATTTGATAGCATGGCAAAATCTGGGCCGTTGTCCAGGCTCTGTGTCCGCAGGATTTTCAAGCACCTTGTCACCGTTGTCAATGTCAAGAATATCAGTCAAGCGACAACCTTGTTCAGATCTCGAATAGCAAATGCTATTTTCTAGAATGATATAACTTGAACCATGCTGCCTCAGGATCTCATATACTTCTTTCGGTGATTTGCGTGCGTATATTTGATAAACCTAAAGAACAGAAGTTATTCAATACTGATCGAAGAGGAATAAAGTTTGTAAGCGAGCGAGGAATACAATAATAATGACTCAAAAGCGACGTAATCATTCAGTCATTTATAAATGGTTATTCGTGCTCCACACGTTTACATCGATGAAGGTGCCACAGGGCTTATTAATAGCACATGAACCCTGCGGTACTCGTGTATCTGGATGCATCTACATCTTCTTAAGTCATTATCGCATTTTTTCCACGAATCAGATTGGATAATTTAACGTCGTCCATTTCGCACGTTATCGATCGTCTTTGAAAGCGTGTACAGTGTGTCACTTTTAGGACCAACTTTGCGAATGGATGACATGACAGTGAGAGCAAGACTACAATGCTTGGCAAGCACTTTGGTTTACCAAATATACAGATTAACAGCTGCATCATTATATTGCAGTAATCATTTGGATCGAACTAAGATTGTCTTAATGAAAAAAGATAGAACAACTAGCGGGGGCCGACGCGTGCACATCCACAACACGAAACCCAATAAGGTAAAATGCAAAATCATAAGTGCGTGTTACTTACATCTTTCGTTCTTTGTCGTAAGAATTTATTTTCATAATGTGGATGATTTGTTATTGGTCGATCGGTGCATAACTTGACGCCAGCTAAAAGTTGCATACTGCCCGTGAAAGCGGCCTGATCGGGGGTTTTTCCACTAAAATGCAATCAACATAAGCCATTTTACCCCTTCTTTCAAGCTCTTTACATATCCTATTTGATAACAACATACTTAGCTTGAGAAAAAAAAATTTTTTATGCAGTAGGAACGATTACACGAAATAAGTTGTCTCCATACACAGAAGGAGGGGAAATTTTCCAAACAAATAATGGCAGTTTCTAAATCTAGGAGCATTTTACAATGATCTTAAGGGGTATAAAATAGTCTACTCTATTGACAGAGAGAATGAAGAACACTGTCTCGCTATGATTATCTATTTTACCGTCTACAAACTACTTTTAACCAATATGTGAAGCATTTTTGAACCTCTAAGGCTGAGGCAAGAAAGACCTCATCTCGTTGAAAGACACAAAGCTCTGGCATGAGACTATACTTGGAGACATTAAAAACAACGGCGTTGTGCCTAAGAACATCAAGTCAAGGAAATCAAGTGAGCTGGTGAACTTTTGGCTGGAAAACTTTACCCCATCCCCGAAGAATAAACAAACTTGATATACAGAATACATATTGAAATATCTGATTATCGAAATTGCAATATAAAATAAAATACAAAAGTATACCTGATCCATGTCATCAGTTCTACAGTGTCAGGGTCATAGAATTCTCTTAGACTTTTCAACTCCTCAAGGGCAGATGGAAGACGCTACAACAAAAATAAATTTTAGAGAAAAACGAATGTGCAAGACTCAAAAGCAAAAAATTTCAAAAGGCAGATAAATGTTAATTGTATCGCTGACGTAGAACTCAATAAGGAATGTAAACTGAATGAATCTCTGAATATTACAAACTACCTTTGTTTAGTGGAGTAATAAAAAATTTAACTTTACTAGTGATAAACAAAGCATCTAGTTTTTTAAAATGTATACAAAGTTTTGAAAGGGAAAATTTAGGATGATATTGAATATGCTATTTTAGAGTGGTAATCATACACTGAATTTTAATGCTGATATGGAAGACATAAAGTTATGGCGCTGTGTGGTTTTATGATATGAAATGTTTTGATTTCATATATCAATATAAGTATAAGTTATAAGGCAATATTAGGAATGGTTTTGATATAATTCAATACATATGTTCAATAAAAGACTTTCAAGAAATATGGATGACTTACCCGCCACAAAACAAGTCCAATAATAGCAATTGGTACCAAATAACCGAATATGTGAGACTGGAAGGTAAATATAAAAAATACTTAGCTTTGCAGGTAATAATGTCTTTTAATATTACTGTATATTTTACTGTATAATGCTTTATAGACAGCTTGACTATCAAAATTTACTTCAACAGTATCATCTGGTAAAGTAGGCAAAAGCTGCAAAGAAAAAGTTTAATGGTTTACAAAGAAAGAAGAAACTTTGGATTATATTGCCGAATTTTTTCTTTAAAACCTATATTGGTTTTCATTTGTGCATTCAACATCGAATGATCGAACAGATCGTTAGAAACAGCACAAATATTTGATCTAAGATTATAAAAGCTAACAATAATTTTAAGTATAAGGAGTTATGTCAAGAAACAACGAGATGCCTAACTACTGTCGCTTCAATACCCAGAAGCCATGAACTGAAACATTTGCGCATTTTCAACACCCGAATTTGAGTTTAAATTCTAGCAACAATAGTAAATAGAAGATTACTGCTACTTACTATTCCGTCTTTTATTTTGCTTGAGCTGAAAACCCATCGCCAAAAGTCCTGATGACAAAAAATCCCCGCTCCAACCATGCAAATATGAGGGGTCCAAAGAAATTTCATTCTTAAAGTCGAGAGAGCCATTAATCCAAAGAAGACACTCAAAATGCAACTGAAGGCTACTTCTGGGTAATAATGAACCATCCAAGGATAGGCAACTGGTTTTTCTCCACTGCAACAAAGTTAAAACATCAAATTTACCACCTTAAAATATTTAGTGCCCCCATTTTAAGACGCAACATACCAAGTTAGAAGAAATTCATATCCACGTAAATATTTGCAATTTCTGCAAAAAGTATCAAAGCGGTTCCAAATAAATACCTCAAGTGATTCTTCAGGGGTTCCACTTCATGGCAAGTGTGAGATCTATCTAATCCTTATTTTATAAAAATGCACAATCGACTCAAAGCATAGGCACTCCACTCAAAGAGACACTGCTGTTTAAAGTCGCTAAAAGAACATGCAAAATGATTGCAATAAACTCTGTTGAAAGTCATGTAACAGGCGATGACTACAGACCCAAGGGTCCGTGGTTCGAGTCCCTGGCATGACCAAACTTTCACCCAGAGTGAAAAGAGCAGCCAGCTCTCTGTAATTCCAGGCATAGAAATAGCAAGGTGTGGTCACATTGAGAGAAAGGACCAGGAGACTGCTCAATAAACAAAAGCTTCTCAGTGTCCTAAAAAACTACCTTCGGATGCTAGGTATAAACCAAAAAATGATTAGGAGCAAAATACAGAAGTTTGATGTTCTTACCTCCACTTCGCCAAAACAGATGTTGCAAGCAAGATCAGCGTGACAAGCATTGCTGCAGCATAACAAGGAAAGACAATCCCATCGGTCAAACGAATAAAAGTATCCATTGGCAAGTAATTGAATGCGCCTTCACAAAGGTAAAGTAACGAATCGAAATCCCTGAAAGAAAAACCAGACATTTTGATATTTCCAATTAGAAAGAAACATTTGGTGAATATTCTTTCATAAAAAAAGATCAGGGTTTTTGTTGGACTTAGTGAGAGAAAAAAAAAGTCATAGAGAGAGGAAAAAGAATTCTTGTGTACACTTTTTCTCACCTCCTAAGAGTCGGCTAAAAAAAGAGCAAGTAAAGTATTGGTTAACAACAGAATAAATGTAACTTCGCAAAACAGTAGCTGTAAAATTGTCTATGACGATGCTGCATTACATGACATTCAAAAGTCGCCTCACCTTTTCAGGGCTTCTCCATATCCCATTTTTGCCAGAACAAATTTGAAGATGTGCTCATCAGAGTCGATTTTAAGGATGAAATTCTGAACGAGAAAAATACAACAAATAATTGGTTTTTTATACAAAGACAAAAATTAAATGATATTAAAGAATAATCTCTGTATTGAAGAGCAAAGACTTGAAAACTATCAAAGTGATTCTAATACAAAAATGCAGTAAGGCAAGGTTGTGAAATTAGCAATACTTTAAAATCAGCATCATCATTTAAAGAGCAAAGATCAATACAAATGTCTACGATGATTTGCTGACATCAAAATTGATTCACTGGGAGTAGTGTTGGGCATAAGCTCAAGGATCTATCAGGATTTGTTTGTCCAGCTATGTTCACTGGTAAACTATTTCCTATTGGTAAAACTGAATAAAAAATGAAGAGTTGACTCAGATGGCTCTTCGAGCAAATGTGGATCTTGCATGCTAATATCTTGTGCAAACCAAACAAAACTATTCATACTAGCTTAAGCCCCGCACATTGGCAGCATTTACAGGTTGGTTTCTATTGTTTTGCAATTAATATTCCTGCGTTTGTACTGTTTTGGGAAAATTTTCATATCAAGAAAAACTCCTAAAAACTGAAGGAAAAGAGACCAGCTAAATCAACGGGCAATAGCCTTGTAGGTAATGTTTCTACCGCACAAGCAAATATTGATATACACTCTCACCAAAAGCTGCATATAGAACTGTGGCTTATGTTCTGGGCAGAAGTTTAGCGGTAGGTTGGTGCCTGGTGCATAAAATGTATTTTGCAATACGTTCACCAAAAAAAAGCACCCAGATTAAGCACAGATCTTTTTAAAAAAGGTTTGGAATAACTAAGAATTCTGTTGATTTGAATTATTAAGAATGAAGTACGATAAATTCACCTGTGGCTAGGAAAACGAAGACCTATGTATCGATTTTCTTAATTTTGGAAGATAAGGATATTTCTTCTCATTGACAATAGAAGATTAGATACTCCCTTAAAATTAGATATTTGCGAGAATAACGTAAACTGTTTGATTTGTTTTTTGCGCACAGCTGGAAATATATGTCAGTAAATGATTAATATGTGTTTAGTTGCTGTTGATCCTTCACAGACAAAGATTACTTGGAGTTTTCTTAAAGCTTTCTTTACAAAATTCTGCATCCTTAGCTCTGGTGCCGCTTTTAATGTATTGACTATCGTTTTCTTTGGAGAATATTAGCTATGTCATATGACGAAATGTTTATTCTTACTGCCGGATAATGTATTAACAACTCTGTTACATGCTCACCTTAAGGACAAAGTTTATGATAAAAGTCAATGCAAGAACAGCTACAGCTGTAAAAAGGAGCTTGAAAATTCTTCGAAAGATCCCTTGGCCTTGCCCACCATTATCCTGCGAGAAAATAGTTCAAAAAAATACAAAATCCTTACAGGTAAAGCCATGTTTCCATCAAAACACTAACTTCATGGAGAAACAGCTTAAAAGCAGAGTTTTTAACGTTTGAGAGATATACAGTTTATTCAGGCACCGCGGAGCGTTGAGAAAAGTGGGGGTCTAAAAACCGAATGAAAAGTGGCTTGACTGGTGATACATTGGTAAAATTATTGTCGTTTTGGTAAAAACTGGGGATTATAGCCCCCTAGCTCCTTCTTCTCCATGGTGCCTGATGATGTTGCATGAAATTACTGCACTTGCGACAAAAATAGCAAATATATTTGAGGTCTTTCATAACCAATAAAACCAATGTAGGTTAATTTGCAAGTCGTGTGCTGCGGATATTGAAAAACACAAAACAAACGTAATAATAGACACATTGTCTTGTCTTACGAATGTGGGTTTTCAAGTTTTGATTTGAAGGACAAGAGAACACATAGTCCATAGACTATACTCACGAATATTTGTTGACCAGTTAAAAATATTGTTACATAGCCACTTTTGATCCACTTACAGAAACAAAATTGAAAAATCAGGTGGTTTGAAAAACGTACCGTTAGTTCAATGATAAGTAGCGCAGCCAAACAAAAGTGCAATGTCAGTGATGTAATCAGCATGTCATTGATAAACTGGATGACACAGACCAATAAAAGACATCCAGAAATAACAAATAAAACACTCTGAGCCTAAAACAAAAAGGTGTTTTGAAATAACATTGGCGTAGAATAATAAATGACACACATTTATAAAACGTTGGTACTTGCTTCTTTGTGACCTTTGCACATTTCTACCACATTAAAGTCTAGAAAACAGCCACAAATCACTTGCTTTTATAGATCGAGACAAACAACTATCAGACTGGTCAAAACAATATGTTATTGTCAGAATTGACATGAAAGCAGATATTGTATACCTCAAGATTCGCAAATGAGGATTTTAAAAAAAATACTTTAAGAATATATCAAGGCTCAAAACGAGCTCTTCTTAAGAGTATGGAGGCTGGATAGTGTTCTTAGAATCAAAATAAGTGTAGGGCAAAAGATTTAGCTAAAGACTCGATGATATGAAGACAAAACCAACGACTGGGAGCACAAATAACACCTGAAGAGTCAAGAAAAGTGTTTGTTCTTCTTCCAGAAAATTTCTTCAATTTTTGGAATCCTTACTCAGAAGAAAAAAAGCAAGGCAATTTTGGGCATAATAATTGAACTCCATTTGTTTTCATTGGTCTTTTTCACAGACATTGGCCATGTGATTGCTATGTTTTCCAGGCACTCATGTGGCCATTTAATCAGTTAATTGCATATCCAGTCTAGACACAGTTGCAGATCAGGGACTTGGGAAACAGAGGGCTTCTTAAAACTGTGCACTGAATTTTGTTACTCTTGGTTTTTAGCATCATCAAGTATTTCACTTTAGTGATGTTTTCTCAAAAACAACCAGGCAAATAAATTATAAAGATATCATCTAAAATGATGTCTGAACAGTAAAAAACAACAATATACCTTTTTTCTTGGTATTATATCAAGGCACCAAGCACCAAACAAAGCAAATCCTTCCAAAAGAAAAACAAACTGAGCAAACTGCCATGTTATAATGGTGAATAGGGTTCCAATAAATATCCCTGCAAGTCCAAATGCCTGAAAATAGAAAACTTAAACCTTAGATCTCAATTCTTTTAAGTAATCATTACATGTTTCCACGTTTCACAAAAACAAGTGACCAAATCTGGTTATGAAAACTTGTTTAAGAAGTCAACCTTGAAAATGTTTCCTTAATCTGCTAGAAAATTTAGGAATGTGAAGAGACACAATCACAAATATATACATTCAATTCAACCTTGTATAAACAAAACAACCTATCAATGCATCAATCTAAGAAAAGTTTGTGCAAACATAACTTCATATACTCTGTTAAATGTTACAGACAATTTTTTACAGGAGTTTAGCACATTGAATAATCTTAACAAAAATAAATACTTTCATTTTAAAATTGGAAAATCAAAGAGATAAAGATAATCAAAGTATCTTTACATCAAATAATAAAGAACATATCTGCAAGAACTATAAAAATCAAAGCATCCTTCAAAAAACAAAGTAAATATACCTGCATTCTTTGGCTAATACCAGGCTTGAAATAAAGAGTAATAGCTGCAAGCTGCATGTATATGAAGGGAAGGGAGAAGCTCTCTCGTAGTGGAATGGTATATGAAACTCTAGTTGTGTCTACCCTGAACATGAAAAATCATATTTTATGCTTAAGATATTTGAATCAAAATTGAAAAATATATATAAAACAGCAAAATTAACTTATTCATTATTGCATAGAGTTATAATTTACTTGAAAATAAATAAACTACTTAAAATTATATTCTGCCATACAATAATAAGAGGGAAATAGCTAAAGGCATTAAGAAAAGCTCTTTAAAAAAAACTACTAACAATACGAAGATTCTCAAACTATCCAGCAGAAAAGACACATAGGAAATGAAACTGTTTCCTGGAAATAGAAAAGGCACTATTTTCCAGAAGTATACCTTGTCTATCTATAAGTTCTTGTATAGATATGCACAATTGTGAAAAAATATATCCCAAAGGGAAGTTATGTCAGTAAAGATTCTACCTATTATAAGCATAAAATGCTGTTCCTAGAACTCCAGCCAGCCAGGTCCCACTCATCAACCAAGAGCTAAAATAGATTGCTACCATGTACATCCCATGAAGTCCAAACACAGTATTGATGTAAAAATAAACATATTCCAAATAATTCTGCAATTAAAAAAGAAAAAAGAATTTGAATCCCTTTAAATTTTTAAAATAAAAATGATATTACAAAAATCATAAGACATTTTGATGAAGCATATCATAAAAATTTTAGCATACCAGAAGCATTCAAAGAATTAAATCTTGATATTTTAATGTTTTGATGACAGAAAAATCAACCTGTAACTAACACAAAATTCAAAATAATATCTCAGTCTTGTCTATTAATCCAGAAGCACCAAATGTTTAGACGAATAGCATAAAGGCATGATTTGTGTAAATTGTAAGCTAAAACCAAGAATGCGAGCATAAATTACCTTTAGATTCAGGGCTTTGTAAATCACAGCCAAAATAACTTCCTGGTAAACATTGAATCTATTGAGAATGTTTATTGTTCTCAGATGCTCTGTTTTATTATCATACATCAGTTGCCTAATGCCTGCAATCAAAACACTTTGTATTTTGATTACCAATACCAATCATTTTTTTAATGAAGATAGATTATAAACATATGACATAATATATACATTTAATTGGATAGATAGAATTAACCAGAAACAAGTTTTACTGCAGATACAAAAAACTAAAACGCCATTTTGATGAAAACAGGAAAAACATCTCAATATCCTAAATGGTGCATTGATCACACATTTGATTTTTTAGAAAGCTGCTAACAGCATAAAATGATCACTGATTCTAAAGCAAGGAATGAGTAGAGCAACCCAGTAACAAGTGGAACAACCCAGTAACAGCCCAATAACAGGCCAGTAACAGACCAACCCATTAAAAACCCAGGACCAAGTGGAACAAGCAAGGCAGTCAGTCATGTCTTCTTCCTCTTTTGACAACAAATTTATTAACAGATTTTCCTGAGATAAGGCCCTTAGGTTTCAGGGACCCTGGGGCAATACCAAAAGACGAGGACCCTTGAACTTTTCTTCAAGTCATCTCATGCAATTGTTGTGTACTGAAATTAGATCATAGGAAATTCATAAACAATTGCAACTAGAAATAAATTATTATAAAGCAAAGAATTTAAACAGCTTTTAGTTATTTAATCATTCTGAATTTTTCATTCCCTTATGTTGAACATGGGGCTCTGACACAGTTTGGAAAGTGGAGAAGAGCAAGGGAAAATTTAACACCCATAACAAAAGATTTTGAAAAAAGGTCCTTTGTCCTAAAAAAAGGAGGAAGGCATGGCTAAGCCCAGGGCTCATTAAGAATATTTTGTGCCTGCGAGCGGAAAGCTGAGTAAAAAATGTGTCTGCAAGTAAACTAGGGTGCAACATATGGTCAGATATTGATAAATTGCGAATCTTCCTTTCTACTGAGTTCCACTCAGTACTGTTACACCAACTTAAATTAATGCCACCAAGTTTTTTCTTACAGAAATTTTCAAATGCTTGTTTTTCACCAATGAAATTTCAAGAAAGCGAGAAGCATTTTCCTTGATACTTTTTTAGTTTGACTTTACTTCCAATACATATCAATTTCCAGTTTATGGTTTTTCTTCGCCATCAACAAAAAGGATATCCAGCTCATCTTTACATATTTCCCTTTCGCCCTCTACATCCAAGAAACTTTAGATCCACATGGGCTGAAATAATGCTTCTACTGGCTCTTTATAATTTCCACCAATTATTTCTTTCTAACGTTCCAGCAGTTCCAGTTTGACACCTCAATTTTCAACTCATGCTCGATTAGAATTTCTAATCCCCTCATTGTGATTGCTGAGCAAACATATTGCGAACTGTAAACGCTTTCAGTGAATATTCATCCATGGGTTCTAATAAATGAAATAAAAAAGATGCGTAAATAACACACGAATCTTATTTGCATGTCTTTTTCATTTCATTTGTTATAACCCTTGGATGAATATTTACTAACAACCATCTCTTGAAGTATGTGGGGTGTCACATGCTCTACGCAAGCTAGTATTCTTTGCAGGTGAACCTTGTAATTTTGCTCTACATGCCAACTCTGCATTTTACTTTCTTTTCCTTACTCCCACAAACGCCTTAGTTGTTAGATGCTATACTCGACATTTTTAGCTTAAAAGAGCTCAAGGGGTGTGTCACTTTTTTCAAGAGGTTTCTAGGATTTTTTGCAGAATTTTTCGAAGACTTTTCTCGAAAACAAAAGGGTTTTTGCCAAAGGTGTACAAGTTTTTCGTGAACTGATATGCTCCTCAAAGGCATACAGATGTTTGGAAATAGAAAGATCGAATAATTGTGAATCAGCAAGAGGAAATAGAAAGAAAGGGACAGATAAACAATGTGATATGCAAACTTGCGCAATTAGAGTAATGATTTTGGGTAAAAAAGACTTACAACTTTATTCCTTTAAAAATTCTATTTGACCTTTCAATTGATACCAAGAGAGATATTAAGAAAAAGCATGATTGTAAATTAAAAAGGCGAATAAAATTCAATTACGAAAAGTGCCTGCAGAAATTTGGAGTATGAACTTTTGTGCCTGCAAGCGCCGCTAGCGCGCTCGCACAGATTAATGAGGTCTTGCTAAGCCACTTCCTTTGTTGGAGACCCTGCAAAAAAGGACTGCCTTAGGAACCTTGCAAGGGTCTGAGTACATTTGTTTTCTTCTTGGGTCATGAGCCAAACAAACATGCTATTGTTATCAAATTTATTCAAAGACACTCAAGTTGCATTAGGAGTAATTTGCAAGTAGAAGTTGTATTCTATGTTGTTGTATTAAATGAATAATGTATTTATGTAATGACGTGATAACGTAAATAACATATAACTTTTATACATTAGAGGGATTTCCTTTATACTTTTGCTCCTTAGGTACCATTAATATACATTTTTTAACTCTAAATATTACCCCCCCCCTCCATTGTAAAAAATAACGAACCCCCCCCTTTCCTCCTACAAGTTCTTATCTCAGGAAAAACCAATTTAGGCTTCTGGTACCAGCCTACCAGAGGTTTTCTGATACACTTGTCCATCACACAAGGTAAGGTTCAGGGTTGTGTGAAAGGAGAGAAAATGGCTGCCAGCTACCAAAAAAATTTAAGTAATATCAGTGATTGATTAGTGCCGTTATCAGATCTATTACAGTTTCACACCTCTCAGCGTGTGGTTCCATTTATAAGGATAGGGTTTGGGTAAGGATCAGTGTCCAAGAAGGAAACTGCATTAGTGCCTGGCTATCTTCATTTCTCAGTAGATTAGACATAAGGTTAAAATAAGAACCATACCTTCACTTATTGTTGGAGCAAGCACCATTTGTTTATAGTATGAAAAATAAAGCCCAGCTTCTGTTCTGAAGGAAATTTCCCTTTCAACTTGCTGCAAATGAAGTTTAATTTGGTAAATATATTTATAACCAGATATGACTGGAATTTTTACATTTTTCATAATCTTGATTCATTTTTAGATTTTTGTGTTTCTTTAAATTTTCATTGACAGTGGAAAATTTTGTAAAAAACAGGGCTAACCCGATTTATCATACTAGGCTACCCACGTTAAACATGTTCAACCACTACCACACGAGATATCAAATTTCTAAAGAAGGCCTCTCGTCGATCACATTGATCAATACTGACAATTTTAGAAAACTTTTCTAAAAATGAGAATGAACATCTTATGCTTACCTTGATGTTTGAAAACCACATATCATTCTCGTGCAGATCTCCGACGTATTTTGCATATTTATATCCTATATAAAATGCAATCAAAATTCCGACCACCAAATTGACCCAGCTAAGGCCAGTCCACAAAATTCTGTCTCGGTCTTCAGCAACCTGCTTTAAATGTAGAGTGTGGGGATGGTTTTTGCTTTGAGTATGCTTTTCCTTCCCAAGTTTTCGCCTACGAAGCTCCGTCATCCTGTCGGAAAGAAGTACCACTTCTGCACGGGAACTGAACAAAAGACACGTTCCCCTTGTTGTTGAGGGTCGTCATGTTAGAACAACCTCTTTTCGAGACAGCCTCGATGAAGAAAAGATACAGTTAAATTCCTAGAAAATATGGCGGAACATAATAAAATCAGCGAGATTAAGGATTTGCTAGATTTTATGAGACAGGAGAAGATATGGCCGAACGGATTGCGTTACCTCTGGACTGATGCACATGGACTGTGCAATTTGCTAACGCTGTACTATGCATCAGGAGACTCGGCGTATCTCATCGAGGCCGAGCAGTTGGTCACTGATGTTTACAAAGTGCTAGGCAGAAAAAAAGGTATACGAATAGGCGAAGAACCAGATAGAGACGGTCAATATTTTCACTACCTTACAAAGTGGATATATGCCCTTGGAGAGTTGGGTAAATTGAAACCAGAATATCACGAGAAGGCTGTTAAACTTGCGAAAGACATTCATCCGCATTTCTTCGTAAAAGGAAGAGGGGTGATATGGAAAATGCTTGAAGATTTGTCTGGTCCGTACCCTGGCTATGGCTTTGGGGGTTTAGACTTATATGATGGCTACATTGTTTATAAAACCCTTGACCAAGCGGCATTGAGCAGTGAGATTGCTGATATGTGGTCTCTGATAGAAAAAGACTACATAGAATTCTCCTGCACTCAAGATTTGGGGCTTGGAGAGACGCTGTGGATGACCCACCATTTTCCAAATGAGCCTTGGGCGCAAGTTCTGAGACAAAGATCCATACAACAACTTGATAAAATGTGGATCCCACAAGGAGAAGGCAAGGGCTTCTTTTGTAGGCATCCCTCCTCTCCAAGGGTAAAATTTGCTTTCACAAACTATGGTGTTTCAGTTGGTTGCCAGGCTGTTGGAGTATGGCCTGAAAGGGTGGAAGCAGTAAATAATTTTTTCAAACATTATAAATCCGGTGATGAATATGACAGGAATTCAATTACACATGTAATGAGATGCACCAGCATTTATCCTGGAACTTTCTTGCATCCCTTTACAAGAATAGCAAAAAGCTGAATTTTCAGTTTGCTTTTACTTCTTTTGCTGACATACACAAAAATGCTTCGTAACACACAATTAGAACTGTGCCAATTTCAAACAAACAAAAATATAAATTTGTTTTTAACATCCATATGCCCTAAATGCACAGTTTTGCAACTCAATGGTAATTGTTTTTTACCAATCTTTCAAAAACTGCTTTATGCTGGCTATTAAGGCAAAGCTGTACACGCTTCTGTGAACAATTCAGTGGTGGACACCTGGGGGAGGGAGACAAGGGGGCAGTCACCTGCCTAATATTTTGGAGAACAAGGATTATTTGTTCTAAAACAATGGGAAAAGGTGACATTATCTTATCAAAATAACAGGCTTGCCCCCAATATTTGACCAAGTGTCCGCCTCTGGAATAAATTAGACTGGAATGTCAAAATATCTTCTGGCTGACTAATATATCATACATCTACAAAAAGTAATTCTTCTAAAAAAGTCAGTATTTGTATCTGTTTTTTGTATTTCTTTCTGGCATCCATAGGTAGTTTTCCTTGCAATCAAACAGGCTTGCCCCCAATATTTGACCAAGTGTCCGCCTCTGGAATAAATTAGACTGGAATGTCAAAATATCTTCTGGCTGACTAATATATCATACATCTACAAAAAGTAATTCTTCTAAAAAAGTCAGTATTTGTATCTGTTTTTTGTATTTCTTTCTGGCATCCATAGGTAGTTTTCCTTGCAATCAACAGATACTAAGGGGGCTCAAGCCATCTTTCAATCAAAAATAAACCAATCAGTGTGTCATACCACTCACATGCTCATTGAGTGTTAATATTGATTGAAAGATGGCTCAAACCGCTTTTATATCTGTTGATTGCCTTAAAGTTCAAATTGAAGCAAAGAGATGGGCATATTGCTAAATCACCAAATCTACTGAGTTTTTCCATTAATAGGTGTTTGGTATAAAGAAATGTTGAAATGCAGATTTTTAGAGGAGAAATTACACCATAGCAGCAATTTGAAACATTGGTATTTCATCTAATAGCTCAAAGTGTTTGAATACAGAACTTCATTAATCAAAACTAAACTACCACAAAGTAATTGATGTTAAATACAGCATATTGAGCTGGAGATAAAAGCAATTGCTACCAGTTACTGTATAATTGTGTAATACACCACTTTGACTATTACATTTATAAATGAAATAAATCCGAAGTTACTTAGTATAAATTTGACAGCCTTTAATTTGACTAAAGGAGCAAAGATATCTTGACACCCCCAATAATTTATCATTTTATAAAGCAAAAACTGAGATTTGGTGATGAGTGTCTGTGTGCAAATAACAAATAGAAGATATATATTCACCCCTTTGGCTTCTTACTTAGTGCAAACTCTAAACCAAGGTTCGAAATATACCCGAGTAATAAAGTTTTGTGGTGCTTAGGTTTATTACCTTAAACTAGTTATCCAAAGCATGCAAAAGCCCAATATAGTAGAGTCTTATATCTGACCATCTAACAGTACAAGAGCATGCATCTAATGATTTTAAAATTTGGTTTTCTTTCTATTACTCTAAGGAATAGCCATGAAAAAAGGTTTTAAAGGAATTCCACTCATTATGTCAGCTACTGAACCAGAGTCCAAAAAATGATCAAAAGATGATATGGTCTAAAGAGGAGGGAGGATAAAAATGGAAAGGGTGACAAAAGTATCAGGAAAAAATGGAAAATGGAATGCATGGTTTATTTTTATCAAAAATTGTACTTCCAAAGGAAATTTTAGTGGTGCCCAACAAAGACAATTCTGTTTTAAAATATCTGAAGATCTCAATGTATTGCTATTTTCAGCTTTAACAACCGAAAACAAATTACCATTACTCTTACAGAATCGACACATTTTTTTAACCCTGCTCTCACTCTCTCTGTACTCAGTTAGATACATTTAAATTATTGATAGTTAATGATAACATGAAGAATGTTACATCAAAATTCAAAAAAGTATAGCCTTACCCCTGAATTATATCACTCCACTCTTCTAAACAGAACCAAACACATTCAGTCATTTGTTTTAAAGACTGGTTAAAATTATAACTTTCATAATGATTTATCATCACTGTTTCTGTTAAATGTAAGATAGGAGAATTTTGATAAGTATGGTTTAAATTTGCTGCCTGTTTCTGGTTGAAAATCATGGCAGTCTGAACAAAGTATAATGGTATTTTTTACAACAGAATTAACAACAATTTGCTAAAACCACCCCAATCAATTATCTCAAATTCATCAAACACATACTATATTCATTGGAGTAGAATCTTGCTATCTACTCAGGAATATCTAACATACTTGTTGCTCTTCAAGAAATTTTTGTGTGTTATTGTGAGTGAATATTGTCTTAAAAAAATCATTCCATTGCAATGTTAACTTTTAACTTTACTACTTTCACATTTAAATTGACAATTCAATAATATTTCAAATGTTTATAATGACAATAAAAAAATATGTCAGTAATGTTTTAAATGAAATTTAAAAAGTAATATTTATGTATATTTTAAATGGCTTGAAGCATTAAGAAAGTCTGACTAGAAATATCCCTGCTTGATGCAAAATACAATTCCAAACTGCTCCAACATTTATAATTACATTTGCCACCATTTTTTTCTCTGATATTTATCAGCAAGTTCCTGAGCAGCACTTGAAAACTGCTTGGATCGCTCATTCATCATGGCTGAGCGGTCCTCAAGCACTCCAAGTTTTTGTCCCCTTTCATCCAGAGCCTGGAATCGAGTTGATTATAATGATTTATTCATAATAAAGGATCCAAGAAGAAAACTCGAAAATAAATAAATGTCTTCAGAGATGTTTCAATGTTCTAGCTTTTTAATTTCTTTCTAGAAAATCTATATTAAAAATGCAAAAAGTAGAATATTAAAGGGTCTGGTTTAGATTTTTCCAATTCTAAATGAATTGATGACCGCAATTGAATTTAATTAATTGAATTGAATGGGTCAAAGTAATATAATTGCCAAACTTACCATTCTGGCACCAGCCAATGCTCCTATAACACTTTCAGAATTATTTTTTAATCCTTCAATTCCTGATCCTGGCACTTTATCAGCAAGACCTTTTGATGCAGAGCCTGCCTTGTTAACTCCAACTAAAAAGATAGATAAAACTAGAATAAAAAATCTATTTTATAATCCCAACTTTACAGAATGGGAAGGATTTTATTTGATTATCTTTCATACACTGTTAACATTCACACAACGCCCAAACAGTTTCATTCGAGCTAGGGAGACCTGACTTAACCTCAAAACAAGTAACCAAAATTGGTGGATAGAATTGGAGATAATGTTAAGAAATAAAACTGTCCCACCAACAAAAAAAATAAAACTGTCCTGGTCGAGAACCAATTAAGCCCATCCCTCTTATTAGCCTCCCTTTTCAGAAGTAAAAATTTAAGAAATCAATTTAGCCCCCCCCCCCCTCCAGTTTTTAATGATGCCAAATAAGTCAACTTGACAAAAACAGATATTTCAATTTGATTCATTCAACCTTTTCAAATGCTTGGTTTCAGAAGGTGACATGGCCCCAGAAGATGTTTTAGAGAATTAATAATTGATGATGATGACAAGATAATTGTTGTAGAAGCCTGGTTTGAGGTTTTAAGCCGAAAACCCACTCCGGAAAATGATCCGCGAATCGGATCACATCGTGTTGTTCTTTCGATCCGCGGATCGTTTCAGATTGGAATGCACGTTGACATTATCTCCACGGGATTCGTTCCTCATGACGCAAGTGCTCTATTGTTCTAAAAGTTCTAATTCGATTTTGATCAAAAGAAAACTACTGTACCGGAACGGTTAAAAAAAAGTTGAAATGATTTCAACTTTTTTTTCGATCCGTTTCGATCCGTCGCGGATCAGTGATGTGACCATTTTTGCATCCAAAGCGCGTGCGCAACACAAAATCTGATCCGATCCGCGGATCATTTTCCTGAGTGGGTTTTCGGCTTTATATTTGCAAAAAACATAAAATTAGTTTACCACTATAAATGGTTTTTAATTACAAATATTGATTAAGCTCCTTCTCTCAATTTAGCCCTCTTCTTATAAGCCCCCCCTTCAAAGTGCTGAAAAACAATAAGCCCCCTGGGGGGCTTAAAAGAGAATTTCAGTATTGAAAAGACGAGAGAAAAAACACACAATAAAGCAGTTCACTTTCTCTTATGGTGTCAAAATATTTCAGTGATGCCTAAAAAATTAACAGATACTTACATAGTTCCTCTCTATCAATGGGAGAAGGTGTGCTAGAAAATATTGTTTGGAAAAACCCTTTTTGGGGAGGTTCAGGAGTTGATACTGCAGTGAAAAGAGTCCCAAGTCCTTCAATATACTCCTTTTGTTTTTGTTTTGTCAAGACAACTCTCTGAATTTCAGTTGGCGAAGTAAGGTACATTGCTTCACCTCCTTTTCCAAATCTGAATGTTCTAAAAATTCTATCAAGATAAAAAATTATCTGAAATCACTGAGAAATATTACCAAAGAATAATAAACTGGAACGTCAAAAATTATAAACTCTCAGGTTTTTAACTGGAAAGTTAGAGAAAACAATAATAAGAAAAGTAAGTCATTTGAACTAATCAAACTCGAAAAATCTGATTGTATATAAAAAAAATTGAAAGTTGATAGTCTTCTTCACACAGTTGATATTCAAGATCCCTTTCCCATTGTTTTAATTACAATGTTATAATGCTGATTCCAAATTATTATTCCAATACATAACAGGTTTTGAGAAAGTATGCTAAGAGAAAACGGAGTGAGTTACAAGACACCTCATATTGTGTCCCGGTTGAGTCATTCACATACATTTATTCCTAGCATTCTATTAGATTGTTTTGGTAAAACGTTCTCCAGTTTCGAGTATTAGCTGAAGCAGATACAACAAAAATAACACAAAAATCCTCTTCCTCCTTTTGAAAAAAGCCATCTTGGTCAAAGAGTCACAGCAAATGAATGAAAACGGTCAGTACCCTCTAATGCTTTATCAGGTATTCAGAATAAATCCAAACTGATTCACAAGGGACAATAGACTTTATTCAGAAGATTTCTTATCGCTTCAAATATAAATATCTTGAGAACGCGTTTTGTCTTGTTACATGAAAAGACATGCATACTATACTCATCAGATATGTATGTAAGAGCTTAATTTGATCTGGAGAATACCTGTGTAATAGTTACTTTTGTCCACCAAAGTACTTCACAAGTTACTTGGTAAGACATTATTATAGATATATTAATCTTCTGTTTTCCTCTTATGATTTCCTATTTCTGTGAGAGTATATAGAAGGTAGAGAATCACCCCTACCTTCAGGGAATCATTACAGGATATAACCCATGTTGCACATGATAGCAGCATTAAACATACCTGTAATCCGAGCAATTAAAACCGCAGTCAGTATCCATGAGCAGTCGAAGGCTTAGAATACTGTAAATGCGCAAACTGCCAATCGACGTAAGACAACCAATGCAAGTGGCTCCTAAATAAGAAAGAAAAATTGGCTACTGTTACTGTGCAACTTAGAGAACACAGCTAGGGGTTGCAAAAATCACACAAAGTAGTGTCAAACGTAAGAAAGGCAGGCCAAGGACATTCACTGGCCACCTGTTTCAAAAATGGGCAAAGTTGTCGAAAATTGGAATAACAAATTTCTAAAACAATAGGCTTGTATAACAAACACATTTCTGTTAGTTGTCTTCCTATGTTGAAGTTTGTCAGAAATTTGTCCTTCTTTTTTCTTTGAGTTTGATTACTAAAACCTTGATCAGAAAAGATCTTAAAATCCTAAAGGATGGAACCATAACCCAGTCTAAATGTCAAGGCAAAGGCAAACATATAGCTATTGCTGGCCTGAAGGTAGCGATATTTAGCCTGACTGAATGATGGCTTTATAGCTATATGAAAATAAGCAATTTAAGCTCTAGTAAGACAAACTAAGAAAACAGTGAAACACAAAAATGCTGCTTTGAAACTCTTCAGAGCTACTGTCATTATAATCTAAAGACTTCAAAATGAACCATTGTCTTATAGCCAGCCATAACGAATTTTGTAAAGACTGAAGTTAAATAAAAGTAGTGTGTTTATCTAGAGACGTTACATGAACGTGTTAATAAGAAAATGACGTCATTAAATAGCTCGTTACTAGATTTTATGTCAGCGCAGATAAAAAAATATTTTGCATATAACTATGCTCTATCGGAAGTTTCCTGATTAAATCCAATAACTAACAAGAACAACCTTTTTTTTGCTCAACTGACCTTCAATTTCTATGACAGCAGCTCTCAGGAAGAAAAAAGATGAATCCGCTTCTTTCACCTTGGCTATCGTTTTGAACGATGGAAGTCCTTTCACCTTTCAACAAAGAAGCAGGAATCAAATTAGCTTTCCTTTACATTACCCACTTGTTTTGTTAATATTAACATGCAAAAAAGTATATACATCTTGAGTAGGCATACATATATAGACAAAATAAGAAATATTCTGCATGAAGAGTTTTAACAATTAGAACCATCATAAAGACCAAACAATGACAACTATAGACTCAAAACGTATAAAATTAATAGGTCTATTAAAAAGGACCCATAAATATGTTAGAAAATACCAACCTTTATTCTTTTTTCGCTGATTAAAATGAGATGATGCTTCTCGGAAGATTCAATTGTGAATGTCGGCAGCGTCGATAAGTTTGTTTCTTTAAAAAAATTATTGGAAAATATGATAAAAGTCAGCAACAATAATGGTGCTATTGGCTGAACATAGCATAATTTCACAAAAGGTTTAAGGCCCTTAACGATCTCTGTGTGGTCTCTGGGGCAAACTGGGAAATGGGACTTGCTTACTTGGACAAACAGACTTTCTCTTTATCTGTATCTTTGTGTTTACTGTGTTTCTATCTGACATCTGAAGACAATTTTTAGGAAACAGAAAGGTTAGGCCTATTGAGATATGTCCTGGTCCTTCCTATTGTGACCACACTTTGTGATTCCTACGACTGCAGGCCTTGTGAAGAGCAGAAAGCAGGCTCTTGGCAAACTGAGCACCTTAAACTTTCTAGGCTATTGAGTGAGCATCAACAAATATCATCAATAACAAAATTTGATTTTTCGCAATTTAGTTTTCAGACAGCATAGATAACAAAATTTGGTTTTTCGCAATTTAGTTTTCAGACAGCATAGACATGTTAGGTGCTCGATCAATCAAGCTCCTAAAACTTTCTAGGTACGTGCGGAGGCACTTGATCAAGCTCTTGTGCCTCTCCTTGCAAGGTCGGCACGGGAATTACAGAGAGCTGGCACCTCCCCTCACTCAAGGTGAAAGTTCAGTCAATTCAGGGACACAAACCCCTGACCCATGGATCAATAGTCCGTGACCCCAACCACTGAGCCAACCTTGCATAGAGCCATCATCGCACTTCGGGATTTGAAGATCTGTGACTGGGGTAATCACCCTGTGACATAGATGACCATATAGGAATCGCAAAATGTGTAAAATTGTTTTTAATGTTTAACTGAAAGAAGCTTGGTGCATAGAAAACAATAACATTAGAAAATTAGCTTTTTTCCATCAATGTTCTAAAGGCTTTAAGTTTGTTTAAAAAAAACTACAAACTCTACAAGAAATAAATCTTAAATAAGACAATAACAATATAGACCAAAAGACAAAAATACTAAAAGATTTCTGAAGAAACTAAATTGGGCCTGGTTGGACTGGGAAGGGAGTAACGGGCTATGCAAATAAGATACAGGAGGAATAGAGGTTAGAGATATTATAATGATAAAATATTCAATACTTGAATCATCACTGTCTTTCCAAAACTCGAAGGGTGTCGGATATAAGCAGCCATTTTTGTCCAAAAAGGTAATTGACAGAATGGAAGATTTCATATTTACTTGCAAACCTGCAATTGAAGCAAAAAGAAAATCCTTTGAAATTTTATCTCAGCTAATCTATTTACAAACGTTTAAAGAGAAACACTATGCAAAGGGACTGTGTCATGGTTACTTGCAAATGCCAAAAAATATTTGAATCTGTTTGATATAATTCACACAATGGACTGAAGGTGGTTTTGTGCTTCAACAAACTGGAAATCTTTTCAATTGACCCATTAGTTAAAAGTGAAACGAATATCTAGTAATATCTAGATTAAAAATGCTCTATAGTAAGAACATGATAAGGAGAGCTGCTTGATTGGATATCAAATTCTCATTAGGCCCTCCGTCTTCAATCCAAAGAAATTTTATCCAAGCTGCGCTTTGCCACACTAGATGTTGGCCTAACATATCCTTAAATACAGTTGCATTATAACAGTAGCTTCTATCGGCCAGAATATCAAAATGAAAGCGTGATTTTTATTTTCGAGCGATATAAGATGGTTTCACAAAGGCTCATTAAAAGCTTTATTACAACAGGCCCCTCAGTTTGAGGCGGGTGATTGCGCGCCCAATTCTTGGCACGCGCCTAGGTGAGATAAGGTGCGTACTTTGTCACGCACCTTCTAAAAATTAGCGATATCGTGCTCCTCGGCCATTTTCAAAGATTACTTTTTGATCAGAACTTTGTCTTGCTGCCCTGGGAATCATCTTTTAATTACAGCATTAACTTCTCCTCAGTTTAGCTTTGAGGCGCACGATCAGCCACGCACCTACTAAAATCGTTACAGAGAGGCCTGTTACAACAGTATTATCATTCGGGGGAATAAATGATCAATCATTACCAGTGTTTGTAGCAAAAACAGGCTGCGTTAATCGTTGCTCTCCGTTCGACGGCAAGCTCAAGGCAACAACAGAAACACTTCCAGTACTGGAGCCAATCCATAAACACGGGACAATAATGTTAGCTGAAAGAAAACAAGTATGAAAAACTATTATGACCCAATGAAATTTAGGATTACGATGGAAAGGTTTGCAAGTAAACAAAAGGATACTGGCAAAACGCTCAAGGCAAAACGCTCTCTAAAAGTACACTTGATGGCACACTCTTTTACAAAATGACAGGAACAAGGAAAATTAAGTCAATTATATAAAACGATATCCTAAAATTAAACATTTATATTTCCCCTACTATGTAGTGCACGGAAGAAACAACAATCATTTCAAATATACTATTTAGGGTATTAAGGCTTGGATCTGTACGTATACATGTGAATAGCTGACAAAAATTTAAAAAAGCAATGAATAAATCAAATAGAAAAGCGAAAACAGGTACCTCCTTTTCTTGTATATGTGTATGTGAACATGAGACTGGTGACGGTGCCTGCCATTGGTATTTCTTTATGAAATAGCCCATCTTCTTTGTCCCTTTCCTTTGACTTCTCCCTTTCTTTATCCCTCTCCTTCTCCCTCTCCCTCTCCCTCTCCCTCTCCTTCTCCTTCTCCTTCTCTCTTTCCTTTTCCCTCTCTCTCTCCTTCTCCCTCTCTTTTCCATTTGACTTGCTCGAGACCTTTCTTCCCACTTTTTGATGTTCCTTTACATCTTTGTTCTCTTTCGCATCGTTTGGATTACCAAAGAACCGAGACGACCTGTCCTTCTTTTTCTCTTTAGCTGAGTCCGGAGGGTCAAATTTTTCACTTCCTTCTGCATCAGGAGACATTAATTTCCCCAACTTTGCTGATTCCAATGGTGATTGTGTAACGTCACCAAGTTCTGATAATAAAACGATAATTTGATCAGTCTTTATAACTCGCAGGGATACTTTTCCTTGATAAAGCCCAAGAAAGAAAGTTTACATTGACGTTTTGAAAAAAAACATGTTTTACAACTGATTAAAAATAAATAATTACTCTCACTACAAAAAATGATTTACCATTAAATGAATGAATGATTCATATCACTTTTATTACTATAAAACAGCTTGATACAATATACAATTTATACAATACACTTAATACAATACAATACATTTAATACAATACAATTTAATACAATACACTTCACAAATGGATTCTTCCATAATACTACATCTACAAAAAAGGAGTTTTTAAATGGATTCTAACAGATTGAAAATAGGGAGCCTTGGTGATGATTAAGTCAAAAAATGAAATGACTACCCGAATTTGTTGCGAACCAACAAATATTTACCTCCAAGCTCGTAAGTCATCATCACTGTAACTAGCTTTTTCTGCACATAATCCACCAGAGCTACACCTAGTGCATTTCCAAATGATATCCTAGGAATGATTATACAAAGTCAGTAGAAAAGAGAAATAGAGCAACATATACATCCTAAAGACGGTTTATGGCATCAGTTCAAGCATAGAACAACTTTGATTTCTTTAGCTGTGGCGTAATACAATCAAGGGTACCTTGGTTTGATAACTAAGTTCCCCTTATCAATAGAGGTATCAAAGCATGTTTATAACCATGCTCTTGAAGCTCCGCACAAGTTTGAAACCTTATTTTCAAAAACTTTAAAAAGTTCTTCAACTGAAGCATATAACTCAGCTCCTCCTACGTGTAAAATCATCGTTTTGCTTCTACCTTCTGTGTTTGCCATGATCTACACTACAGGGCTAGACCCTCTTGCATTCAGTAAATAGGGCCCCCTCGATTTTTTTTCAAGAGTGCCAGGTACCTTCGTTACACCATTGTCACAACGACTTTGATTTCAATTTTGTTTAAGAAAAGGTAACAAATTGTCAGTACTAAGAAGACAATAAACAAACGCTTTCCAGGAAAAACAATGATAAAACAGTTTTAAATTCCCTATAGCCAATTGGAACAAACCATTCGATATACAATGCAACACGCCTCATTTGAATTTTCGATGACATAGGCAAGAAACGAGACCACATAAACTAGTCACTATTTCTTGACTGTGCCAGCCCATCACTTTATTAAATACAAAAGCGGGAATAAGCAGGTGCCATCCAAGGCAAAGCAGATGCGATCAAAACCAGTATTTTCTCTCCTTCTGACTTATAAAATTGTCACCATTGCCTGCTTCGTTTTCAAACGAAAAACTTGCTTCAACTGTTACAGATTTTTGCAACCTGCACTACGGTAAAATGTCTACGTAAAGCATAATATCAATATCTCAAAAGTTTCATTGTTGAAAAATGAACTTACAAGCCATATGCAGAACTGATAGCAATACAAGTGACAGAAGGCACCGGATCATTAGCAAGTTGCTGGCAAACGATTTCAGGTTGGAAACCAGGCGACCATTTGCGGACCATCGACTTTACAGATGGAGGCAGTGTCGTAATCCGAAAGTGTATTGAATCTGTGCACGAGTCTAAGACCTCTGCACCTGGCGTTGGCGGAGCACTTTCAGTTTGCACCTCGTCGCATTCATGGGCCATCTCGATGCCAAAATTTACATCTACTTTCTGCATGGAAAAAAAGGATGAGCAAATATTTTCAAAGGATTGCCAAGTTAATGAAAGTTCGACGTTTTCTAAAGCGAAAAAATCGTCGAAGAATAGCTGTATGGACATTTCGAATTTAGAAGTTTCAGTACAGCGTTTTGGTCAATGAAAGAGGAAGGTTAGAATGAGAAACAAGGGGGCTCTTTCAAAATATCCAAAAGATTGACGGGGGTTGTTTATTTCCGAAGAAGCACTAAAAAATAGTGACAGCATTCTATCCTTAAACATCTTTCAGGACTTACCAGAGAAAAAAAGGACTTGCTAGTGGAAAATAATTTTGAAATCTATATTATAGCATGATATCAAAGGAAGAAGAACAAATGCATTGACTTTTATAGAGCCAGCAACGAAGCACGGGGTGTATTTCATCCATGAGCACTCTGAACTGCACTGCTTATCGCTAGGTGAAATGGATCCTTTCAAAGTATATAATGTGAAAAATTGCTTACAGCGATTTCCCCCGCGGTTTCCTTTGACCTGAATCTGTACACTATAACTGCATTAGAAAGGGTGGTAACTGCTAATACGCGGCTTCTTGTACACAGAGTAATGTGTTGTATTGCAAAGGGTTCTTCGTAATGCTGCTCATTTGAGCCCCTGCTTGCAATACTGGATCTGTCAGCTACGGCGTTGTCGAACAAAGCACTGACATTCAACTGGTATACAGAATATAATGTATCTAAAATGAATAAAATTCAACGCATAATAGATAAACAAGTCAGTGTGGGGCAAACAGTTATGGTAAATATTGTCCTAAACTCAATCGGAGACAGCTCAATCGAATTTCAACAATTCTTTACACCAATTTGCTGAACCTTTCTGTTTCATTATTCATAGACATTCTCACAACACTTTATGCCAATCTAAAACTTTTTCGATGATCTGGAGAATAAGAAAACGCCGCGTGACAAACTGTCATTATCACATGTCATTCAATGAAACTTACGTATTATGCACGCGTAAATAAATTCTGCAATTGAGATCCTGTTAACCCCCAGTAAGCCTTGTTTTGACCGGGATCACCTCTCCTTAAAATATTATTGCTGAAAATACTAGCATTGCTTTGAAACAACCCCACCTGCTTTATAATACCCTAATTTACACAAAACATTGAACAAAGGGACTAAATAACTATCTTCTTGACAGATGGTGAGAGTGAAAAAAGATCAATGGTTAAAATCTGTGATTAAATACTTACTTGAAGAAACATCCCAAAATTTACAGCTGCCGTCTGCATGACTATGAAGGAGAACATAAGCATGAAATATAGATAGATATTGAGGTGAATTGAAAAATGTTATTGCATGAGTTGAAATGCATTTGGCACAAACGAACAGTTGGTGGTTACACGAATATGCATTTTTCATTCTTTTACGATATTGTTTTATTGCTTACGGCTTTGAAATGTCTCAAATGAATTTGTGTACCACAACCCTTTTTCTGAGAAAACAAGGTTGAAGATATAGGCAAAACGAACCCAAAGGTCTAGAAAAAGCATAGTTTATTTTAGTGACAGAAAAAACAATAGTTTATTTTAGAACAAAATATTTCCAAAACCTCTTACCCCGTCACCAAAAGCGCCGGCTCATATGATACCTCTTCAAGCTCTCCTCCGGTTATAGGCCATTTCTAAAACAAATACAGAAATTGAAATTTGTGGAATACAAATACAAATAGGGAATAAAAAACGTAGAGAGAAAGTAGACAACAGCGAGGGACCAAATCTTTTCAAACTTTCTGAAATTTCCCCCTCTCTGTTAATGTAAAATGTTAACATCTGATTGCGATCAAGTGATCATCTATACAACGGTTTTTATTGAAATTCGTGTTTCTGCGGTTTCACATAATCATTCTTGCGATTAAATAGGAAAAAATCTTTACCGCAGAGAAAGGTGGTACAAGAGACAAGTAACATGTATAAACGATTATATACGAAGCTGAAACGATTACCTGTTTGCTGAACCCAGCAGGTGCGGACTTCTTGGAAGACGAAAATCGATGAAGAGCTGGAATTAGATCAGCAGGGCATTCTGGGTAATACTGGATGCACGTCACCGGGGAATCGTGAATACCGAACGTGTACGGGATTTCAAACCACGGAAGGCTAAAATAAATTGTTGTCGTTTAATATAACATTTGGGTCGGTATCGAATCGGCGGCTGGCACTTTAAACAAAGGTAAGAATACTTAAGTGAGCACAACTTTCGGTATCCAGACATCTTTTGGGAGAATTCACGATTTTTTACGGCTTCCGTCACATCAAGTAACAAGATACGGATAGATTTAAAAGGAGGACACAAATGGTCACAGCTTTTCCAAAATGTTAGCCTAATTAAATATACTTATTTTCTATTTTCGTGATTTATTTTCTTCCAATACGGATATTGGTCCTTGACAAAAGTCAAGGACGAACTAATTATACACTCCTCTCACGAAAGTATCCGGACAGTTTCGAAGATCGATTCCGCTTTCAGACAAAAACAAATTTAGGCTGGCGATAACGACTTTTTAATTTAGTGATGTTAATTTTTGTGAAACTCTTCCAAAATAATCAAGACATTAAATGCTGCAAAGCTTCTGCGCTTTTTATCCGTTATCATTTTAGTTGGAATGAGAAATGATTGCGCTAGATGCATTACGCAAATGAACTGATGTCAAATAAGCGGAGAACAGCAAAGTCAGGTGACTTGGACTCAGTTAAAATGGGCCAATAAAACCTGGTAATTTTTTACAAACAAATATTTTCGAATAAAGAGAAATACAACATGTTTATTCTCATTGGGAAAAGAATTTGCATGGAGATGCCACCGATCGATTATAAAACATGCATATGGTAACATTTTATCAGACCAAAAACTTTCTTGCAAAGCAGACATATCATTCAGTTCAGAGCCATAAACTGACTTTGAAATTTGTAAACCAATCTCTCTAACAACAGATTCGCAACTGAATTCGAAACTGTCCGGATACTTTTGTGAGGAGAGTGAATTACGCACCAAAAAAAAATAGAATTTAAAAAGCAATCATCAAGTGCGTTATTCTATTATATTATGTGCATTATTCAGTAAATATGAAAAAAGCTGAAAATCCAATATACCAAAAACTTTGGTTATCAAGAATTCAGAAATTTGGTAGAGATCTGAAGCAAGGATACAAGGACTGCAAAGATATAAAATATCACAAAACTGTGTATGATTGAGAACGAAATCGAAAAGAAATCCTTACCTAGGTGCAGGCAGCGTTGAAAGGTCAAATATGACAATCTCATTCTTTAGTAGTGCTATAATGACGCTTGGATTCTGATAATCTAGAAGAAGATTTATATGGATTATGCAAGATTAAAGATATGTTGTCTTTCACTGACTATTCTCGAGTAAATACTATCTTACCTATTTGGAAAACAGACTCAAACTGAGCATATCTTTAAAAAGTCCTTGTTTGCATGTTGTTTACAATGAAGAAATAGAACAGACCTTAATAAGATACAGGGAAAGAAATAATTACAGACCTTGCTCCCATGGAGTGTCTACCATACAGACAAAATCAACGACGAAATCAGACAGCAACAGCATTTTCGATCTGCCTCGCATGAGCGTTAATCCTTTTCTGCTATTTCCCAGTGCCAGCCCACCAGAAAAGACAACAACACAAGGATCCCTGTAAAAACGCATATATATAGTTATTCTTTCAACAATTTCATACTTGGAACATACATTAAAAATTCAGGAAACACTACAAGGAAATTTCACATTGGATATTCTTCTGACTTAAATACAAAATAAAACAGCATAATTTATACGTACCCTTCTTTGACTCCTAACCACATGATCTTTGTTACGGGACAGCATGGTGATGACTGTCCAAGCTTGCCACCTTGACAAGATAATAACGCAACAATAAAGGTTGGTATCATGGGCGATAAACAATAATGTTACTTTAATTTGACCGAATTAAGATGTAATTATAAGCCTTGTCTTTACGCCGATCGTTGAAATATTCAAGTAACCTTATTTTCATTGAAGAGCTGTTATAGGGAAAGAGGAGTTAGTCAATAAATGTTGAAACGTTAGCCCAAGTCACAAGGAAATCAACAACAGTACTCTTCTGGCCTGGTTTAACACAGCAACAAGAAGTGCCATACCTAAGAATGCCTAAGGTATTAAGAAAAACGTGGAAATACAGTCCATACTAAAAATAGGTAAACCTTAGAAAATCATCTTACCTTCAAAACGGGAAAAATTAGTTCTCTGTAGAAAATAAGTATTGTAAAAAATGTGGTAAAATCCTACATTCATAATCACTTTGATACTGACAGGCCACTTGTTGTTACGTTTAAAAACGAATTAAAAGGAACGTACCATGTGGGGAAGATGTTTCTTCGGGCTTCTTTGAGTTTCTAAAGTTCCATACCGTCGTAGTACCATCCCAGTGACCAGCTATGAATTGTTTGCCTTCCAGATGCCAGTAAGTGCCTGTTATTTGTTGGGTCGGCTGCGGATTATACAAGAAGGTTATCCAATATCCCAATAAATACACCAATTTAACATCCTACCTTTATTTGAAAAAATCTTTTTGTTTTCTTTGTATTGAATTTTTGTATTCAAATTCGGATTGAGGACCAGAGTTTTCGTATTTAGGGGCTATGTCCCGACGTATTTTGCTAGCCTTTTGATTAACCCCTTATCAGACTTATATTATCTTTTAAAAGCAAATTTCCAAAAGAAGGATTTGAAAAACCTGTGGCAGCGTGAATCGTTCTTGGACACTTTTGCTTCGCAGGTCCCATAAAGCACATTCGCCACCTTCAAATGTCAGCAACAACTACAAGAAAAAATGCTGTTAGATGGCTGCTTTGGACATTATTTACATAATCAAAAAAAATGCAAAATTCATTTTTATTTTATCTTACTATAGGAATATGGTAATGCAATAAACACTACGGAAAATATTATGATCGCTCAAAGACAACAGGACGAGCTCTCCCTTTCACTTTGAAACTATTAGAAAATATCCTCAAATAAAATACCAAAGTGCACGATATGAATGATGAAACTCTATTTACTGGGACGATCTTGAGCTTTAGCACCCCCTTTTTCTTTGATCATCAAAGTTCCAAGAAACTCGGAAGGTCTTCCCTAGCAAAAGCCATATAGTTTTGCGAGGATAAACAGTCAGATGAGAGGAGGCTCAGCAGCTAGAGTCGCGGACTACAGATTCAAGTCACTGACATGACAGGAGTTTGTTCGTTTTTTAAACATGGCATATACAAGAACAGTCACTGAAGCATTGGTCAAAATAAAAGTACTAGGGAGGCAACAAAAATCTACCTTGCTGTTATCCACTGGATTGCTATCGATTTCAATAACCGGACCTGGGTGACTCTTGCACGACCTAATAAAACAACAATACTGAGCTGTTTTGGTGGTAAAGAAAATTGATTATTAATCGAAATGTATTCTTCAAATGTTGTGTGGTACGTTGTGTGTAAACATGATCCTGTTTCTTACAGGATAAGTTACAATTATGCAGTTTAATTTTCTTCGTTCGGCCTTTAATTCGGTCTTTAATTGACTTTTCCACCTCAATCAATTAGAAAAAAGACTATGAACAGATCACTCAGCCACAATATACAACACAAAATGAGACAAATTGAAAGAGTTACTCATTAACCACTAGAAAATGACAAAAAACAATGACTAACGAAAAAAAGTTCATTGTCAAAAAGAAATTTTATACTTTAATCTCGAGTTCTTTTCTAGGGTCACAAGCTGTGCACAGGGACGGACATACCAGGGTTGGAGTTGGGGTTACGACATCCCCCTAATCTTTTCGTGTAATTCGTTGTATTTCCTTTTATTCGGAAAAACGATTTTATGTAGACAGTATTAATTAACTGACGCCAAGTTTATCTTTTTCTATCATCTTCTTCTTTTATCTTCTTATTTTATCTTCTTCTATTATCTTCTAATCTTCTTTATATTGCAGTTAGAAATGGAATTGTAAAATTGGACGTTTCTATCATTTTCTAGGCACTTAAAGGGTGTGACACCAAAATCCAATCATTACCTATCACCCCTGAACAATTATAAATATTGGTCTCTTTCTGACTGATAGAATTCGTTAGTAAATGCATTCTGCCCTAGGGTTTAAAAAGGCCGCACATAGCAAACTACTCGACTGACTCCGGTCAATGGTAGAAATGTATTAAATAAGGCAATTATGTGTGTTTATGGTTATTTTATCTCGGCGAGTTGCGGTGTTCTTTATTTGCTACATTTTAAAGATATGTGGACCTTATGCTAATATATTTTGGTAGCGCCCCAGTTCTACTACAAATTGGTGGTTTCAATTAAGAAAATGAGTAAAAAGCCTTCTATCAGAGAAATTTAGAAGCCAAAGGTTCTTTTTATGGTTAAGCAAGGTTCTGAACTTTTTCTACATCGATAAATTTTATATTGATTAAGTGATTCACACTGTTTCTTTAGCTTGGTATCTTCAATCCTATTTTCAAAGAACTGTTATAAAGTTGTAATCTCTAACACCTGGGGATGACCAAATATAACCCAAACCTTGATCAAATAGAATGAATCATTCAAAAGACAGTGGGATTACAAAATAAAATAAAGGATTCGCTGTGATATGAAAAGGATTTTAAAAAGGCTTCGCCATTCTTTCTGTGGCCCTTAATATCTAGAGCACGACAAAAAAATAAAAATATAGGGTAAAAGAAACTCTCAGGAACCTTGTTCGAAACCATGGGCTGCAATAGAGTATAATTTATTACAATGCCATATTGGAATTTGCTCATAACGGATACTCTAAACAACATTGATTTCACTTACACAGGAATCACTTTGTTCCAGTTTATCACGTATCCGGATATGGTAAAGGATTCGACCGAAACCATGTAAACATTCCCGCGTTCGGTTCCGACGTACAACCACTTACTCGTATATGGTATTCGAAGGCAGGTAATTCTAGAATGGATAAACAGACAAGGCACATCAGGAAAGCTTCATACATACAACCATGAAATCGAATGGAATATCTTTCTTGCTTTAGTACTTAACAAAACAGAAAGTGGTAGAGTCGAGTAAAATCTGTTTAAGGCCAAAGAATCTCTGTTCGTCAATTAAAATGAAGCCAGATGTTGTATATATAACAACAATACATTTTGATTTAAAGAATAGGACGATTCTATGTAAATGTATGTAACGATACAGACAAGTAGCCAACCCTTGACGATAAATGATATATAAGAACCACAATTACTCTTGAAGTTTGGCGGTTTTTTAAAAAAACAAGCAGTGCTTTGAAGTACTTGGTGATTTTGTGATGTACAGTATGATCAAATTAAAACTGCTTACTTTTCTCGGTTAAACCTGAGGGACTGTATCAAGGCTGGCTGGGCCTGCCTTAAATTCCAAAGATGGATGCTTGCATCATCACATGCACTGATAAGACCACCCTATATAAAAGAACGGATCACATTAAATTCAAACTAAAACTGAAAAAAGAATCATTTGAAAATATCAAAAATCAGATTATTCCTTTGAGTGGTCATTACTTTACTAAAAATGAGCGAAAAATTAGGCATATCGATGGTTTATCTAAAAAAGGCCTCAGATGCCAACATTGCTCTAGATAACAGCCGCGCAAGCATGTCAGTCTAATGCAAAATGGTGGTTTTAATTTTCCACAAGTAGTTCCGTCAAATAGACTACCGTAAATCCTCGAAAAATAGCCCATGGGGGTTTATTGGAGAAAAGCATAATTGCAGAATTATATCTAATTTCAAGAAAGCCCCCACAGGACAATAGCTATACAGTATTACTTCTTTTGACTGGAAACCAAAAAGCAAAAAAGCGACTTTTGTGATGATAAAAAATCATAATATTTGTTAGATCTCCACACAGCACTTTGTGACTCTTTTAATGATATCAGAAATCATAATTGAATGTTAAGTTTCCTTTGCAAAAAAGCCTTTTTGTAATTCTTCAATTTATCTCATTGAGAACATTATGTCGTTTTTATGTCGACCTTTGAGGAAAATACGAAACTTAGAAATAAGCCCCCCCCCCCTCGAATAAGCTCCCACCCGAAAATTCATTTATCGTCTCCGAGTGCAAGGACAACCCAGCGCGCATAATGATAAATTTCACAGCATTTACAAAATGCATTCTTTTTCCACGATCAACTACTATACCAGAACCTTTAAAGTCTTCAAAATAGTTTGTGTCTATTTGCCAATGAGTGAATGTCCACAATACAATTTGATGAGCAAATAGCTATAACCCACCTCGTTTATTAAAAACTGCAACTGAACAACTGCAGCGTTGCTTGTGTGTCTAACATGGCATTCAACTCCTGGCTTCCCACATCTGATTCCAAGTTAAGGATGATGCATAATTATTTTCAATTAAAATCAAAAGTTATTTTTCTAGCTATTAGATGTTCGTAACAAAAACGTACGATTTAAAGCAATCAATTTCCAAACTTAGGTCATTATTTTCTGAACATTGCTCGTACAATCCTTGCCAAAGGCCTGGAAACCCAAACAATCTATCTTTTATTGGCATATTTTCCAGCATCCACTGCCCCCATAAATCAGTGTTGAGGACTGCCCCTCCCCCCCCCCTGAAAATTACGTAGATATTAGCTGAACATCGTACAGGTAGCGTAAAACATGATTCCTAGCTTCTTGATTTAATTGTTTGATATGATATGAGCGGGGTTTACAACAACATTGGAAATGGGATCCAGTGTCTATGGATTTTATGGATATTCTTCGAGAAAAGAAACTTTTGACGCTAAACACACTAAAAGATCTACACAGATCTAAAAATTGACTTTGCTTGTGGTCACATGGTTTTGTGGTGATCTGTCGCGCTACTAGACTTACAAAACACAACTGCTATGAACATTTGACATTATAACAGTAGATCCACTTGGCTTGCTATCGCCGAGGGCAGAATCAATATCCCTTGGTAGTTTCAAATACAAGTGTACTTTTAATTGAAAAAATGGGTGCTTTTATCATTTAGCAACAAAGATGGTAGGAATTGTTTTCATGAGAAATGCCACGAGAAGAATGAGCATTCAATCTTCAAGCAAAAACATGAATACGACTTCACTACATAATAATGTTTATGCGGTTGCCGAAAGGTTGACAACTAAAGTAGCGGACGCACAATACAATGTGTTTTCAAAGGAACTACGACCAGATACAGAAAAGTTCTAAGCTTTCCATAAATTTGTGGATGCTCTGTAATACTGCGCCTCCTCATAAAAGTGTGCACGTTAAAAGACCTGTTCATTTATTTTTTTTAAGGTATTTAAAAATACAAAAACAGTGGTGCTCGAGCGGTTCTTTGATGATGAAAAGTAAATAGGCAAAGAAGGGAACAACCTTATGTTTCGGGCCGAGGCACAGAAAGGGGCAAGGGTAGACGTGTCCCCTACAGTCTTTGTGAATGTAACACATTTATGGACCCCCTTTTTAGGATAATGTTAACACCTGCCCTGATTTTTCAGGCGTGGAAGGGCATGAGTACAACTTGAAGGAAACTTCCTTCATTAAAATGGTAGTATAAAGGTGCAAGACGGCAGAATATACCCTTCCTGGTAGCAAATATATTTTCCAGGACAAACATACCCAATTTTCAAAATCAAATAGACACAAAAACGAGAAGCCTTTGCTAAAGCTCAAACAATGTAGAATTTGGCAGCATGTAGAATTTGAAAAGTCAGCTGAGAAAAATCTCAGAAATTCGTCATAAACACTTTGAAATAAAAATGAACTCATCTTGACATGTTTTAGAAATCATTTTGAAATAAAAACCACATTTGGTAAATTTTACAAAGTAACACTGATGATTGGCATTCCAAGCTTGCAATGCATGTTCAAATGTAGAGGGATGTTTACAAACTACAAACGAATAGGAGAAGACTTTGTCCGAAATTGGATAAATATGCAAAAATCAAGGCCCCTGGTGCTCATTCTTGGTGACCTTGCTATGGGTGCAACCCTGTTCTCCAAGAGAGAATTGAGATGATGAAAAAGTAGGCGTGTAAAGGAGGCAATGGTTGCTAACTTTATTCTGCATTGTTGTCTGCAATGTGTTTTCTTTCAATTTTTCTTAGAAACATACCAGAATAATATCTATAGGTTTTGATTGAATATCCCACTTTTCTGTCATCTCAAATAGATATGAAAAACATGTCATAATTGCAAAATTAATGAATTGTGATTAGCCTGTTGTCAATTTGCATATCTATTTAATTCAGAATATTTGAAAAAAACTCAAAATGTGCTTCACGTTTTAAAGGGACAGTCTCTTCATTGATACTGTCACATACTAATGCATCTGAAAGCCTTCTACCTTATCATAGATTTTATGAATCATTCAAGGAATTAAGACTATGTTGGCAAATGTTTTCAAATTCAATTGAGATTTTTTGTCACAATGAATATTGTACTGGTTTTCCAGAGTCATTTTTATTTCTCATTTACTTCTAAAAATGCTTGCTGGCTGCTGACTAATTTATTATACAATGTTCAACCCAAGAAAGCTCATGTAATGGCAACCACAACTAGGGATTGGACAATACCTGAATATCGTTATCAAGACAGCCTTATTCCCAGCATAGGACAAGAAAAAGACTAAAGAAATGGCTATTCCTACATAAATAGCTATATAAATAGCTACCCTAAAACAGTTAAAAAACTTTAGTGGTTTCTGAGTCACTTTGTTGTTACAAATTTTCAGGGGAAACATAAAAATGTGGTGCAACATAAAATAGCCTTTTGAATATACGCTGTAACCTTATGTCTAGACCTTATGCTGTGGACAAAATACGACAAATGTGAGAGACTAAGAGGTTATGGGTAAAATTGTTACATAAACAAAGGATACAGTCGAATGGCACCATGAGCTGTTCCAATGGCCAAAATCTTTTGCAAAGGATCAACAGCCAGACAGGTTGCTTGATAGGGAAATCCATATCTTCCTACCTACAAAATAAATCCAAAGGGTATAGAGAAAAATCACGAGTATCATGTAGAATAAATCTATTACATATCAAGAAGAAAGGAGAAATTGATTTGCAATTTGGAATTGAGGCATAAATGGGAGACTCCTTCAATTCATAAAATTATCAGGTCGGTTCTTGTTTGGAATTTTGAAAGCTTGGTGTATCATAATCAATTTCAATTTTGTTGGCAACAAGAAGTATTTGCTTATGTTAAGGTTTCTGTAAAGGCCAAAGACAGACATCAAACTTGTGGGCATGAAGAAAATTGAAGGAAAATGGCCTTTTTAGCATTTTGATGTACTTCTCTACAGCAACACACCTATTGGAAATTGCCAATTCATTTAGGCCTAACTGAACCCAAAATTTTACCCAAGTTTAATTAGCAAATTTTAAGGCTAAAAAAACACTTGCCATATTGCTATAACTTTTAATAAAAATGTTTGAAATCTCACTTATCAAAAGACCTTTGACATTAAGTTTTATCATAACTTGCTCCTCCTCCCATAATTATTTTGTTCTTACCACTGCAATTACTTTGTTTATGGATGTATATTATTTCTTACATTAGTATGGTAGCTCTAAACATTTTGAAATATTCAATAAAATTCCAAGAATTTGAATCTAACAAGAATTATTAAAAGTTACAAACAAGAAAGATCTTTCTTTGGATTACTATTTGCAAAAACCATTTGCCTTAGAGGAAACTACATAGCTTGAAAATAGCAAAAGTGAGTAAATTAACTGAATTACAGAACAGCAGCATTATTTTCAGTGACATAATTAATTTGTTAAAAAACTGAAAAGATATTATTAAAATGAAAAACTGTTGAAATGCATCTGAGAATTTGAAAGTTTGTATCTTATGCTCATTGCAAAATGCATTTGGCATGTTTCAGCTTCATTGCCATAGATATCTGGCTTCAAGTCTTAGAAATCATGACTTTTTTCAGTTTAAGGAGAATTGAAGCAGGTCAGCTGTCCTGTTACTACAAGGACTGTGCTGTGATCAGGGGCCATTCAAAACATTATTTTATGCAAGCAGGCTACATTTCATAATTAATATTTGATCTTTATGTCTCATAAATGGTTACATAGATTTTAAATTGCACAGTGGGGTATGCAGACTGGGCTTGTTATAAATAGCACCAAAGGCTTTGCATTGGTATATTTTCCTAAATTGTTTGTTATTGATGGGGATTGTAACCTATATTTCTATGCAGCATGTCCCTGTTTATCACCAAAATCACGTGCCCCTCCCCCTGTTCCTCTACTCACGTGCAAATTTGGTAACTTTTAACAGTCAATTGAGATCAATTATTGTCAGTAGACATCAAACTATGAAGATTCGTCAAGTGCCCTATCTGGATGGCTTGCCTCATAAGCCAAAAATCTTATTAACTGGAGTAGAGAACCTAGATTCCAACTTGCCATGGTTTCCTTTCGGTTTATAAAAAACTTGTTAAAATGAGCCTAGCAGAGTATTGAAACTGATTGACGAATTTTCAGACAATGATTATCCAAGCTTCCAAAAACTAAAACAACTGACAACACTTGCAGAATTGATGTAAAATATTCTGCGATTTCCTGAAATGTTCATCTATCGAACACTATAGCGACAAGCATTTTGTGGCATAAGTTAAAATGTATATATGGCTTGAAGTAAGCATCAGATGATTTTTCTAATGCTTAATTTTTTTTCTAATTTTTTAGAAATTTCAAGGTTATACACGAGGATTCGTTGCATTGTAACTGCAATATCTTATGGAACAACAGCCGAACAAAAATGGGCGAGGGCGTGATGTCCGATTTCACAAAATTTGTCATTAAGCATTATATCCTTAAGCTTATAATCGGTCAAATAAAAAATTTTGACATAAATTTTCGAAATAACTAGGTGCAGGATTTCAACTTTATAGTTATGAAGCAGACCTGTGCAAAGAAATGAGCACGAGAAACATTAGGAAAATCGGCTAAATTGAACTTTGTAGTCTAGGCTAAGCTATTAATTTTGTTTCCACTTGATTCCTAAAAAATATGGCTTCTGCAAAATTTGAATACTAGAATAATTTTCAAGTTGGTTTATTCGGATCTATCTGATGGTATTGGCAGTTGATTTCAAAAGGTCTGCATTACACAAGAAAACAGGCTTCGAGGTATTTCTTCCTCCTGTGTAGACAAAACACGTCTCGACTTCAAATATGAAAGATGAAGTTGACCACAAATGAGCAGTCTGGGTTACCTTTGTAAGGACAAGCTCTTCAGGAGACAGTCTCTCTGAAAATTCATCGCTCTCTTCAGATGTAGAAGATACATTTGCTGAACCAGAATTGTTCGATTGATTTGATACTCCGCTTAGGCCACTGAATACATTCCTGATTCCACTGAATCTAGTTCTTACCGTCGGACGTCCTCCTTGCACTGGCATCTGGGCAACATTGATATCCTAGGCGGTGCTATAAGAACATACTAAAGATTTCGTGTTGCAAAAAATTATTATTTAAAATGACTTCTCAACGGACTGTTGACATTTTTCATGCAGCATGCACCCTGCTCGACTTCATTCACCTGCAGTAAAGTGATGTAAACAAACACATTAGCTTGAAGAATAAGTCCCGCAAATCTCTCGCGTAATCCCGCAATTTTTGCATCACCGATTGTTCAAATGTATTATTATGAAACAAAACGCTACAAATTTCTTGCGTCAAATTTTTTGGCAGTTTGCCTGGAATTATATGACGATAGCCTGTTTATCAAATTTTTGAATACCTGTTTATACTTTGACGACCTACGTTGGCGTTGTGGGGAATGAATTCTAGAGGTGACCAGGAAGAAAAGTTTTCCGACCAAATTTATTTGATTTATTTTAATCAAATAGAAGCATTTCATGTTAGTGTAAGAGGGGGGGGGGGGGGGAGAAAAAACACCACTTTTTCCTTAGCTGGAAAAATATTTAAAATGCACTTTTTATCTTGTTTCTGTTTCTTCATACTAACTGTGAAAGTTCCTAATATCTGGCAACCCTATAGATCGGTAGATTAGGACAAAGGTAGAATAGAGTTACTACCTGAGGCAGCACCATGGTTGCTGCCGAAGGGAAATTTTTTTATAATCTTAATGCTATTCTTAATGCTATAAAAACTGTAAGAACATTAATACTCAAAATTGCTGAAACTTAAAAATAATTTAAGAATAATACAAGGCTCAAGTTTCTTCAAGAATTGAATTTCTTGTTTATTTGAGTTTTTTTGGAAAGGGTGGAGATGTGAGAGAACAGGAACTTAGTTTTTAAGTCACTTGTAACCAGAGAAACAGAGAAACGGAATAAAAGAAACAGGAGAGGTGTGAATGTAGAAGAGTTTTGAGAAAGAAGAAGTGATCGATAAAGTTTGTAAGAAAGACGTAATAGAAGTTAACGAGAAGTGGGTTGTTGAAGAAGGAAAACTATGTTTATTGTGTTTCTTTTTGGTATTCTCTTTTTGTAGATTGTATTGCTGGATTCAAGTCGCTTCATCACAAAACCAAATCGAATGCGATTTTCACGCTCTATGGCTTGAAATAGACGTATCTGGCCTTGAAGTCATTAAAACAAAAATGCAATCCGGTTATACCTTATGTCACTTGAGAATAATTCAAGAATAATCTTAGGCTCAAAATCTTAAAAATGTAAGAATAGAGAGGCTCAGCAAAAAATTAGGTTTTCTCATAAAAAAGTGTGTAGTGCAATATGTAAAAGCTGATGTGTCACACACAATGACAATCTGAGTAAGCAGATTTTCTTATATAGCTTCAACAATGAGCAGATCTTTAATTTAAAATACATATTCTACCTATACACTAGACTCTTTCAGCTTAATAATTTCCTTTGAGAATGTTCCTCCAGGTTCCACCTACGGTGTTAGTTTGGTAACAACAGCTCAGTTTTTTCTTTAAACTGGTAAACCAATTGAATATTTCAGCCACCAACAGTAAGTTTTGTTTGCCTAAAAAAAGCATGAAATTGCAACAACGGGATATCTTGTTAGCTATAAAGAGTTTTTGTATGTTTGTTTCAAGGCATTTTGTTGCTTAACAGCGATCTGTGACATTGATAGATAAAGCAACCTTAGCCAGCTTTATATTGTTCTTGGTCTCGCATAGAAAAGGCTAACTTCAAACACTGAACACTGATTTTTAAAGCTTTATATGCATTTCATTTTACGTTTTTATAATACTTTTATAATACTAGCCATACCATTTTGCTTATAGATTAGATTACATTGGTTCTGTTCTATTTTTTGCTAAGTTTTGCAAGCTCTTTCCGATGGTGTTACCAGATTTGAAACATTCGAAGATCAAAATTTTGCTGACCATGCATTTTTCACGCTCACGGAAACGTAACTTCCGGTCATTTGCCACAATGTTCCCAAGGCATAAAATGACTAGTGTCCCTTATTTCTATAATTTAAGCTTTAAAAATTTCGGTTAGGCAGTTTGCTAGAAGATTATGCAAAATCCCCCGTCTAATTGATTGACTGAAGGGTGTGTTGAAAATTTTTTTTTATTTTTTCATTAAATTCTTATTTCAACACGATATCCCATCAGAAACCTAAACACAAGTTATGATAAGCTAAAAAAAACTAATAATAGAAGACAAGATTTTAAAAAATCATTAAATAATATGAGTGAATTGAATTTGACTTCTGATCTTCCTGGGAGTCGTGTTTTAATTCGGGCTTTCTGAGCTCTTCAAGTTAGCTTTTACTTTTCGTTTGAATTGAAAGAGCAAGGGGATCTCCCTTAGTTCTATGGGTATTTCTTTCCAAGATTTAAGCCCAGAGAGGTGGAATCCCTTTTTTTTATTTCCTCAAGCTTAAATTTTGGGATGTCGAGATTTCTATTGTTTCTTGCGTTATAACTAGAAATTTCAATCCTCTGATTATAATTGTTCCAGAGGCTCTCAGGGCACTGCTTTTTAACTATTTTGTGTGTCATGATAGATCTATCAAAAGAGATGATCTGATCAACGCTTAGCCAATCACTGTTCCAGGGGTCCTTTTGTTTGGCATTTTCAATAATTGAGAATGCCCTATCCAGAAGACGCTGAAGCGTTCGTAGCTTCGTGTTTGGCAGGCTACCCCAGACAAATTCCCGTATCGGAGGTGACTTTCTACCAGCGCATGATAAACCTCACATAGTTTAGATTGTGGAAGAATGTGCTTCAGTTTTTTCAACGCAGACAGACCACTTGCGACTTTTCCTTTCAAAGATTTCAAGTGTTCCTTCCAGTTGAGATTCTCATCCACAATAATACTTAGAGATGCAGCTCTTTTCACTCGTTTCATTTCTGTGCCATTAAGTTTCAGAGGAGCTAGAGTTTCAATTTTATTTATTCTACGTGGATGGCTGAAAAGCATAAACTCAGTTTTTTAGGATTTGCACTTAATTTATTGATCCTCATCCACTCAGAAATATTTTCTAGTTCCTCATTCATCATTTGTGTAAGCCTGTTAATGTCTTCAGCGACTATTGTCGTGTGTGTATCATCAGCATACATGCTTGCCGATGAAAACTTTAAACATTCTTTAAAGTCGTTAAGGTATATGATGAAGAGAAGGGGGCCTAAGCATGAACCTTGGGGAATGTCACATGTTACCCCTAAGGGCTTGGAACATTCACCATTCATTCTGCAAAATTGTTTACGTTGGGTTATGTAGGATCGAAACCAGTTAATCACATTGCCCTGTACACCAAATCTAGAAAGTTTTTCGAGCAATATTTTGTGATCCACTGGATCGAAAGCCTTGTTCAGATCCAAGAATATGGTCTTATTGATCTTTTGAGAATCAATGTTGTTAAGCCATTTATCAGTACTTTTTATTAAAGACGTGATAGTTGAGTGTAGCTTACGAAACGCATGCTGATTCTTTTTAAGCAGTTGTTTCTCTTTCAATTTGCCAATCGGCTGATCGTGAACTATTTTTTCAAGAATCCTTGCAAATATCAATAAAGCTGATATAGGCCTGTAATTATTCATCTCACCTCTTGCACCTGATTTAAAAATTGGGGTCACCCCTGCAATCTTCCAAATATCTGGAAAATTACCCGCGGTGTACGATGAGTTGTATATTAGCTTAAGAGGGAGGGCAATAAATTCGGATGCATCTTTAGCTAATCTGACAGGGATTTATCTGGCCCGCTGGCTTTGCCGTTTTTCAGCCCGGTCAGTGCTTCTAAGATCTGCTGAGTATCAACTGTTTTGAAATTAGTAATCATAGAGTTATTGTCACTTATTTTGGCAAAAGGGTCATCAGCTGATTTAGTTTTGACTTCGTCCGCTAGTTTCGGACCAACCGAGACAAAGTGCTTGTTAAAAGCATTGACAATTTCGCTATTATTAGTTAAAAATTTGCCTTCGTAGTTTAAGCTAGTAACTTATACTTTTGATGAATTTCTGTCCAGCACTTTGTTAATAGTTTGCCACATTTGTTTTGGATTGTTATTCTTTAAGGGGTGGGGGCAGATTTGTGAAATACTCCTGAGCTCGAGCTGGCTATCGACCGCCCTGCACATAGTTCATGCAAAACGTCCGGTATCTCATCTTTTATGACCAAAAATAGTTTAACCATGTAGAACACGGACCACCTATTTTGCAACCGGGTTTTCACGGTTCACAACGAACACCCATTCTTCTTGCTTTGCAGGTCAAACAACTTCCTATATGTGTTGTCCTTTTGTATGGGCTCTTAGTTGTAAGAACTATTGGCAGTTCCTTTTGTAAAGCATTTGCACCTCAATTCTGACGTTCACACCTTCTTCAGTGGAGAACGAGCTACGAAGAGTTATTTCAATCTTGTGTTCCATTCGTACATTATTTTGCTGCTGTTTTTGTGGTTTCATATGAAAAACTACGGATAACTCGAACTAATACCTGCTTTTTCGTAAAGTTCGAGTTATCGAGAGCCTTGATAACTCGAGCAACTGAAAACTTGAACATTCGATGACTCGAATCATTTTCATTGGTCACTTGAAGATTCCGGTTATCAGGAATTTACTGCAGTATATGATAACGAGAATATAGCCCGCCAAATATCAATTTTAAAAAATGTTTTCACTCCAGCATAAAAGTCACCAGGTCGCTTGAAGACACGAAGCGTTGATACTTGGAATGATGAAAAAAGCTAATATTAACTTTATCACTGTAGAAATGAACTATAATGGAAAATTGTATCGTTTCCGCCTGAAAATGTCCGGGTCGAAGGCATGCGATAGCCAAAAAATGAAAAGTGCTCGAGAATTTCATGGATTTCTCACAGAATTGATGGTCTAGAATTGGGAATCAGGAATCGGGCTAAAAACGTAGCGGGAAATCAGGAATGAAGGAACTTTGGGAACCTTCATAATGGTGGGAAGTACCATAGAAGTTTGCCAACTCGTGTAGAGCCCCCTACTCCAAAATGTGTCCCGGCGTTCTTGCTTTTCCCTACTTTCCAGATCTTTTCTGTGTTGCCATCAAGGATAGCTTATTACTTTAACGATACAATAATGCAATCGTTCTGTTCGAAGCACATGTCGTACTTCGTTAACTTAGAAACCTATTTCTGAGAAGTAAATTATTATAAAATGCGTCATTCGTTATTTTGCAAATGCTCCACGTTGAGCGTGGGCGCTGGGCGACGACAAAGAAATCAAAGGCATAGCCATTGGTCGTTCGGACGACAAGAGTCACGTGACACATGGTATTCTGCGTTGAAAAAAAAGATGACCCAGCCAGGTAGTGAGAAGAGGCAGTGTGCCCTATAACCAAATGCGAATTTCACCTACGCTAGTCGCATGTTGAATCGCACATATTATTCATTGATGGATTACTTAAACACGTGAACAGTCATCTTATCTCACCATGTCAACTGGATGTTCCTCGGAGAAGCCCAGGAAACTAAAGAATTTACCTGACTGTTGACTTGCTTTTTTTAAAGAAAGATACAAAGGTCAGTATTAATACTTTTACAAAACCAAATGTAATTTAGACTTCAAGCAATACATCGGGGAGATCTTTGTGATATATTAGCATTTTACGCTATTCTAAATTACAATTCCAAGTAACATTCCAGGCCTAAACCAAGGCCCCTTTGTTTATTGACCATCAGCTTGATCGCTTTGCTTTTCTGATAAACACTGTCATTTTCTATTTTTTTGTTTAATATACACACAGTATTGGCATTAGCAAACTTATTAAATTCTGAAAAGGATTCTGCTATTAAATTATAGAATCTGAATTGTGGCTAGACGGACAATGTTCTATTTGACTGGGCCTACTATCTTGTAATACTCTAAAGTCGTGATTTCTGCGATTAAGATCATATATCAACAACATCAGATGTTTTTCCTCTGGAACAAAAATGATGGGGGCTACCAAAGATGCTTTGGTCTCTATTATCATTATCCGAAAGACTGTAACCAGGTGGCTCTTCATACGCCATCGCGCAGCCTACCCCGTACCGGGATGGTTCAGGCATGGATGTGTTCTGTCATGGCTACCCCCTATCACTAGCCGTTCAACTCGCGCCAATTCGAAACTTCATTACAATAAGCATTGCGTGGAGACATCAATGGTACACATTTTTTACTATAAGAAACATTTTCCTGGGAAATCCATGAAATTCTCGAACAGTTTTTGGCATTGCACACGTGATTTCGAACCGGACATTTTCCGGCTGAAACAAGACAATTTCCTTAATTGTACCAATCGAAGCATCTAAAAATACATCCTAGCAGATTTTTAGCGTTTGAAAGAACTGAATAATGAATTGACAAATTTTTGCTTTATGTCTAAATCATGTGCCGTTTTCTGTTGTCAAGAGAAGTTTCAACAAACCCTTTCATAGTAGGGCAATTTAAGTCGACGTCCAAGGAGAGTAGTCAAGTTTTGTCAAAATCCATGCATGGTCTTGTCTAAGATGCCTAGGACAAAGTAAAGAACTCTTATTTTCCCTTAAGATTATGGTATGCTTCGGTAAAACCATCCTTGAGACGATATTTAAACTTTTAAAAGGAGGAATTGAAACACTTACCAACACACCGGTAATGTTATTTCTTTGGGATGTGGGAGCTTGATGTCACACGCAGCGGCACACAGGGACCACTTGTAAGTTTTATCAATTGACTTTTCTTCAGTTTTCTGACTTACCTCATATCAAGTAAGGAAGAGTCGTTAACGACGTAGAAAAAACGAAAGATCTTCGGCAAAATGATTAGTCCGATTTCGTTTCAATTCTAAACAGCACTTTTGCATTGTTGTTTTGATCAACAGCTCTATATTCCTCATTATCAACTGTATGAAGTCGCTTTTAAATAAGTCAGAAGTGGCTTTTAAATAAGTCAGTTAAATAAATATATCTAAGTTGAAGACTTGTTATTATAATTCTGGTGAATACATGCGTTATTTGCATCTTTGAAGCTTATGATTGCCAAACAACTTCGCTTACAACCATTTGGATATTGAAATCTTCCAAACAGCAATCTAATGCATTTTTGTTGTAAAAGTTTGTTGAAAACTTTTGATAAAAACTTTCCAGATAAATTTAATAGAAATATAGTTCTCCTCACTCTCCAATTCATCCATAAAAATGGCCAATTTGATTAAACCAACTCCGTCGTGAACAACCTAACCCAGCCACCAGGTTCTATTTAAAGTAAAATCTCTTTTGGTTTTATTCTGTTTTGTTTAAACTTTTTATTTTAGTTTAACTGTTTGAGACAGTCAATTGTAGTTTATTTCTATATAATGGCCCCACGGTAGTCAGAGCCTTTTGGTCTCCGGAGTATCGTGCCCTGTATTGCAATATAGTAGTTTCTGTTAGTAGTGTATGTTGTCTGTAGTATGTGTAGCTATTGTAACTTGTTAGTGGAATGTATTAAAAACTTCGTTTTGTGTTCAAATCAAAGTTTAAGCGCTGTTTTCTGTTGCCAAGAGAAATTTAAACAAACTGTTTCATAAGTCAACTTCCAAGGACAATAGTCAGGTTTTGCTGAAGTCCATGCTTGGTCTAGTCTAGGATTATGTAACGAAGTACTTTTTGATAAAAATAAATAACACCCTAAGTTCGGTTTTTCCACTAGAGTTTGTTAGCGAACCTGTCTTCTGTGGAGAAACTAGTGAGCTTAAGTTTGGACATTTTCCACGGCTACATCTATAAAAATTCTTTTAAATAATGATTGCCAAGCTCCTTAAACCTTTTTTTTTGAAAACACATTTTTCAAGAACAAGGGTCGACAACAAGCAGCCAAGTTTTCTGATGCTGAGTCAAACTTCAGTAATAATTGTTTCTTAAGATATTCTTAATTCATATTTATTATTTTGGGTCCTGAGTATGATTTTTCATGCTGGGCAATTTCTTTATTTGATATCTTAGTATTATTTTCCACGAAATATAAAAAACCTCTGAAGTTGACAGGAAAAAAATTTGTGAGACTTTTGAAAAACATTTTTAGGTTTGCACAGTTGAATAAACAAGTTAAATACTTTATAAATAACTTGAAATATTAAGCCAAATAGCAAATCACTATCAACTGTTTTTAAATTCTTTCTATCAGTTTCTGAAGCTTTTTATTTTTTCCTGATACATAGCAAGTTTCTAAATGACAAAAAGTAAAATGGCAGAAATTGAAGAATTTTCACACCAAAATTCGGCGAATATACTGTAATGGTATCTGGATTGTGTCTTTTTCCTATTGTACCAACTAACTAGCTGCGATCTTTTGAATTTTCATAAAAAAGTCACATTGTTAGTCATCGTATATTGTGAAAACCCTTATAGAGCCATATTTGGGTATCAGAGATCACCCTTGAAACAAATATTAACTGATAATTGAACAAATATATTCACATAAGTCACATCAGAATCGTTTGAAAAGTCTCAGATCTGAGCACTTTTTACAATGTATATTAAAAAAGAATGACATTTAGATTGAATGAATACGGGAAAGTAACTACATCCAACGCCAAATACACCCTTTTCTATAAGATCCAGATAAAAATCTTACTTTCTGGAAAGTTATCGAACTATTACGAAAGCTCGGAGGTTGTTAAATATTGTTCTTATTTCAACATTATTTATTGTGTTTTAGACTACTTAGTAATAGCTTTGCAAGTCAACAGAACGGCTAGATTGCTCATTTTGGGTCAGATCGAGCCTCGGTGTTCTCATAAATTGTGTTTAATAAAAAAATTTGTAATCCAGTGGCGTAGATAGAGGGTGGTCAGAGGGGGTGAAAATTATTTTTAAAGGAGGAAACAGGGAAAATCTTCAATAGTTTGACTTATGGCACTTGACTTTTAATAAACATAATGAGATTTCTTCTGTTTTATTTCAGTTCTAATCTAGCTATGTTGTGTTATGTTAAGATATATGAAAAACCGCTTGATAGATTTACTGTTCCAGAATTATAATATCTTGCCCCTCCTATGAATTTTCTTACCTACGCCACTGGTAACATAAACATAAGAGAAAACAGATTATTTCAATTTTCACCGAGTCTGATTATTGTTCACTTTTGGTATTAACAGGGGTCACTATCAGTGGTCGTGTCAGGGGAGGGCTAGGGGGGCTACAGCCCCTCCATCGGAAGCATCTAGCTCCCCCCCATCGGAGGAAATTTTAGGTTATTGTCGGAGCAAATTTGACAAAGTAACGTACGAAAATTGCTTATTTCAGTCATTTTAGCCCCCCTGTCGGAAGCTCCAACCCCTCTGTCGGAAAATTTCTGGCGCCACCTCTGGTCACTATAAGATGAAGTATTATTTGTTGCAGTTGTGAGGAATCAGGGAAAATTTAACTAATTTGGTAGTTTGATTATATGACTTATTCTTTATAAGTGGTTTGACTGTGTCAATTAGGCTTCAATGCAGAGGACTGACCGTATAATTTAAAATATAATAGGGAACTTAAGGGCGTTAACCTGTTGAGTGCATTTCAAGAAATGCAGGTGCCTACGTATTGTTTCCTTTTTCTAAGAACCGATTCATCGCCTAGCATTAAATATGTCTGGTTTGATGGCAAATGGCATTTGTCTGGTAGTGTTGCCTAGAAATAAACCCTATTTATTTCTTTATCTTAATTGCTTTTCGTTTTTACGGGTGCGTCCTGATCAGGAGAGTGAGGTTTGCCTGTGAACTCATACGGGTGTTATCATTGTTATGAATTTCTAACCACCAACTGAAGAAGCTATCTATCGCCGAATGAGTCACTGTCTGTAAAGCAAATTTCGTAATAACTTGTATGTATCTTTAGTATTAAACTAAAAGGAGAACCTGGTAAAGGGTATTGGAATGTGTCTGCTTCAAAATAATGCTACAACCAAAGACGGTCCGTTGTGACTTTGTTCAAGGCCTTGGAAATGACCCTCTAGTTTCAATAACCATTCTTAGATTTGTACAGTGGCGGCGCCAAGGGGCGGTATGGGGGGTAATTAACCCCTTCCCCCCACTTTTCTGAAAATATGGTCTACATATTTCTTCTAAAAATGAATTTAAAAACACTGGGTAGGGGGTAGATCAAATTTCTTAAGGAAAGTTAACTTGGTACAAAACACTGAAACGAAGCAAAATGGGCGTGGTTCCACTAGCCGCGCCCATTACCCTCCAACTCCATAATAGCCGGCGTCGCCACTGGATATGTAAGATTATCCATTGAATCTTCTCGAATACAAGATTAATTTAAAAAACTTTACATGCCTTTCAGAACTAACGGCAAAAACGCATGCTGCTAATAACTGGCAAGCATGGCGACCATTAATTGTGCGGGATTTGGGGCTACGTTGGAGCGGACTTCGTTGGAGCTTTATCAAGGTTAAGAAAAAGATTGTTCACGTGTATGATCGTACTCGAGGGAAGGCGTCCCATCCGACGCCATTTTATATAACTCCATGAGTATTCTTACAAGATTGATATGATATTAGTGATACTATATTGTACTGAATCACACTTTTTTATTTTGACTCTTTATAAAGAACATTTGGGTAAGAAGTTACACACAGGTTTATCCAGAAATGTTAACCAGCGCTTCAATACAGTTAAATACTGGACCCTAGACAGTTAAATACAAGTCTGGCCTTGCCGTTTTAATGTTTCAAACTTAGTAATGCTTTGCTTGCATTACTGTTTAGGGTCCGCTATCGTTATTAGTTGATGTTTCGAAATATCTGCTCAAAAATTTATTGAATCAGAGTGAATTCTTTTAATCGAGAATTTAGAGGATAGATGAATCTAAAGTTATAGCACAAAACTGCTCAAACTAAACCTAACAATTGCCTGTTTCCCAACTCCCCTTTGGCTGTTGATAAGATATGGAACTCACCATTCCTTGAGTTTTTCCACACGAAGTAATTTAATTTGATTTATCATTGAGTTGACAATTTTAAGTAAATGTCAACTTGCCACTAAAATCTTAAAACATCAATTACCCTATAACCAAAATTTGGATTTTAAACTTGAAATTCGTCAGTGGAATCAGATTTAAGCAACTGGAATTTGGAGTTTTTGAACAAGGATTAGGTTTAAACAAAGCCTTCTTGGAATGGGGTTTGCCCCCATTCAGTACATCCACCTACAGTCCCCTCATGTATTGCCTGCATTTTAGTTGTGTTACTGTCAGAATGTATGCTTAAAATTGATCTAGAAGCATAATTTTTCTCTGGATATTAGTCCCTTTGCAAACAGTCGCTTGACATTCTATACAATAACTGGAGTATCTTTAAGCCAAACGGAAAAGTATTTGATTGACATTTCCGAAAATAAGAGGAACCTTACTGGTTGACTGCTGCCATTGCTACTGCCAATGGTGTAATCACTAAATCAATTAATGCTTGTTAACCTTTCTTTAAAAAGAAGCTTTTCACTCAAAATTGTGATATTAATTGAAAAAATCTAAAAGTATTGCAGACTTTAATTTTGTAGTTTCACAAACGTTTGTTATGAAACTTAGACTGATTGACGCTTCCTGATCTTCATGGTGTTTTGAATTGGGGACGTACATGTTTGGAGCAAAGATTTCCGACAATTATGGTTATAATACGACTTGATACATAGAATCCAGTGTATTGGAGGGATTTACTACAAACAAGCATGTAAGATTTCGTAAATGGTTTCATGTGTGGTTGTTGGAATGAATTGTTAACTGTTGTTTAGCTTTAACTTCACGCTAGGCCAGGCAAAGAACATTGTCATGGCGTTTATGTTTTTTTATGTTAAATATCAAAACGTGTGCCAATTTTTCCAAACAATATCTGCAAAGTGTTAGTTGTAGCAAATGCGTTGCTTGGCTCTGTTAAGTGGCAGCACTTTGGTTCTTTTCTGTGGATTGAACTTTCTTGTCACCGACTCGATATGATTGACTACATAACATTATATTATTGCACCACGAGGCGCAGCAATCAGACTATCGGGCAGTAAAAAAACTTTCAGCTCATAAATATTAAGAGAGATGTTGCTTTTTATGTGTTTCAGAGGAGTAATTATTCCAGTTTCTTCCAGTCCTAATCACAAACATTTCTAGGCACATGGTCGTCTTTGTTAACAGTAAAGGACGTGATGTCTTCCAAAATGAAGGCTTGATGCTGAAAGTGAAATATATAAAGTACTATGGATTTCTGCCATTCAGAAATTTTAGTTTGGTTTAAGGCTGTAGGTACCCAATTTTTTGAAATAATAAGAAGCTTTCAGCCAGTGCGTATTTTAAGAAAAATGTCCAAGGCCACAGAAAAATTTCTTGAGACGTTTGGGAGAAAGTCTTTCCCAGTGCGACCCATCTTGGCCTACAAAAAATGTAGCTGGCTGTAGGACCTTGTACAATCTTTGTGAGTTTCGTATAGTTTAAAGAAAAAGATATACTGAGTTTCAAATATAAGCTTTTTTAATTTTGTGCCATTTTAAGTGTTAACAATCCCTCTAGATTATTCCCAACATCAGACTCAAGGACCATAAGGTGTGGCTATGGCTGAGCAAGCACTCCATTCAGCACTGGCAATCATAGGCGTAGGAGACATAGGGGCTCGGGGATACAGGCCCCCAATAAGGCTAAATTTTTCGAACTTCAGGCCCATTCGGATAGTTTTATCTCAATTAAGCAACAATCTTCAGGCAAGACCCATACTAAGCCCCTCTGAACGTTCAGCCTCCGCCTCGCTCCTACTGTCAATTATAAATAATGAGTACAAAGTCCAACTAGTGGGATTGTAACAACCAGAGCCGCCCAACCTGACTTTTTCAAAGGGGCGCAAAAGCTTGTATAGGGTGCCGAAAACTCGAAAAAAGTTTGATACGGCCGACTTTTCTGGTTATTAGGTCTCTAGGAGGTCAGCAGAGACAAAGAAGACGCCTTAAAATTTTCTTGAGGTACATGGCCCCCTAGAACAGTCTCATTCCAGGGCACGTCTTTGGGCCCTTTAAGGGCACAGCATTCATGGGGCACACAGAAATAATCCGAAGACAGTCTGTGTTTGAGTTGTCCTAACTCATGTCCCAACATCTTCTAGGGAAAATTTTGAATTTCAAAGAGTCTCTTTGGCTCTGCTGACCTTCAGAGACCTAATTAATAGACAATTCAGTTGTTTAACTGTTTTATCCTAGATTAGTCCGTCTGCTACCTCAAGTCACTTCCACGGACGTACAGTTTTAGGTGCACAAGATAAGAAGAAATAGCCCTAAAAAGTGCATTCAAAGCTAAAACATAATGAAACCAGCTCTTATTATGTTTCTTCAAAAAGGGTAAATTAAACAGATTACTTTTAACTCAAAACATTGACTTCCTGTTTCTCAGGGACGCCGGGGAAGGGGGCACAGGGGGTCAACTGCCCCTGTTGCCTTTTGATAAAAAGGGCAAGGGGGGCCAGAGTGCCCTTTTCATTTAAGTGCCCTTGAAACCAGCCATTTCTAACAATCAGATAGATTTATATTAAATTCTGGTTGTAGTGCCTAGTTCATGAAAACACTTCTCAGAACTTGTAAATAAATTCCTTATGCCAAAAGATAGCCAATTTTCAAGATACGCACAGAAGATCGAAATAAAATGGCAGATACGAAGGAATTAGTAGAAGCTGAGAATTATCTTACGAATGCTTTTTTTCTCAAGTCTGCCCCCCTTGCCCCTTGGTTTTTTTCCGGCGTCACTGATGTTTCTAGTAGGTACTTCAGGTTTCTTTTCAAGGGTCAGGCCTAGTTTTCTTAACAGTTGTCGGGTTTTTTTGTCTTTTATAATATTTCTTTAAAGTTTGATAAATATTTACTTCATTTTGCATCAAGTCTTCATTTTGCACCATTTCTAGCACCTTTCAACTGTGTCATATTGAATTCACAGATATGTTAAAAATCGCATTTTCTAGCCCTATGAGTAACTGAAAACCTTCACTAGGACCGACTCTTCCCATTATCTGTTACCCCAACACACCCCTAGTTTCACCCTGACTGTAAGTTGTGTTATAAGTATGTTTGAGCTTGTTTAGTTGCCCCAAAGTAAAAGTTTAGCAAAACAAAGGTAAATATTTTATCTAGCGCTTTGGATTCCCCTCCAAGGTACCAAATGAACACAGCAGTTACAACAAGAACAAATCCCTCATTTGACCACTCTTGGAATTTCCCCAAACATGTTCTTGACACATTTTCATTAAGTTCATTTGCTTGGATTGGCTTCGAAGACAGTCATTTCGTACGTGAATCGGTCCAACTTAACCTGACACCCCCATGAAAAATTGTTATATTTGGGACCCTGTTCTCATGTGGGGGTCAGTCTATCTTTGACATACAAGGTTAGAAAATATAAGACCATTACCAGAATGCCAATCTTTTCAGGAAAAGACAATAATGTTAGTTATGAAGGGCACCATTTTGCTGCTGGCTCTTCAAGCGAAAAAGGCCACGTCGCCACTGGTAACAACTTCTGGAAGGTACGAAAATTAATTGCTATATGTATGGACGTCGAAATTTGAATGCGCATTGTATGACAGAATCAAGGCCATCCGGGTGTTTTCTTAGTTTCTTTCCCTCTTCCTTTTTCTTTTACATTCTTGATATTTCTGTGTTTTAGACGATTTAATTTTATCTTTTATGTGATGTTTTGAAACAATACTTGCATACAACAAAAACACGGGGTTTGGTGTATAAAATCTTTCTTTGTCAGGCTCAATATCTAAATATGTGCTTTCTGTCATAATATTGCTATAGAGCAGCCTACGTGGTACCTTCTTCTTTTCCAATGATACAAATTGTCCTAATCATTCAGTTTTTCCTTCCAAGCACATCGGAGCGTTGAGAAAATTGGGGGGGGGCCTAAAACCAAATTAAAAGTGAGGCTATAGCCCCTCCAGTCCCCGTGCCCCGCAGTGCCAGCTAGCAACAAAAGCACCTACATGATTGAGGCATCGACCCAAAAAACTTGATACATAACCCGAGTTTGCATCCCCCCTAGCTACAGGCTTACCAGTGAATGAACATAACGAACCCTCAGAGCTAGAATACCACCGTCAGGGGGAGGGGCGGTGCCGGAAATCGTTTGGGGGAAGATCCCCAGATTTTACCGACAAAAGTGGTGATCTTGAGGTGTGACTGTTGGGAATAATACAACGTAGCCAAGCTGCTTCGAGAAAATATGGAGCCATTCGAGTATACAAGAAAACTTCTTAGGCAGGAATAGGGTACATAAAATGGATAGATTTCGTCTTCATTATTAATAAATCTTCTAAATTTAAGGCTTTAGACGTGGCAAGTGAAAACTTTAAGCTGTTTGCAGAATTTTTTGATTAACTACTAAAGTTATATAATGGTCAAATTGCTTGACTTGTGCCGCTTGCCAAGAAAAATCATCCCACACGTCTTTGCATTTACGTTTGATAGAAGGCTCAAAATGATTTACTGGAGGATTTCAACTGAGCTGTAAAAAGTAAAGAAAAAATTCAATCTCGATATGTTATTTAACTGTTTGAACTTACGGCTTATTGTTGATGCAATAGTGTAACCATAAAATGTGATGTACTGCAATTCTCTACAAAAAAACATACAAATACCCAATTACTTTACTATTGTATGCATGGGATTGCAATATAAAAATAATAACAACGGTTGAATAAAGTATTCAAAACATAGGTTAACCTCTTAAGGATCATTTCTTTGGGCCCGTTCAATTATATGTAACACAAGTCATTACACGAAAACGCAATGAGCTAACGGAAATTTCCAAAGAAGAAGTTGACCAAAAACCATTGAAAGAAAATGCTAAAACCACTATTCTTTTTCGCAGAAGTTTGATTTTAAAACTTTAAGGAAAGTTTTCATAACAACTTTTGTGTTTTCGTGCCCAGACACTTCAAAATTAAACATTTCATAGACATAAGGTAAGAATAATATTTGGTAGAATAATAAATTTTCTCTTTGATAACCCAGATTTGAAAATTTGAGATTGATAACCCAGAAGTAAAGATGATACAATCAAGCAAAAATCCAAGTTAATCAGCATATGATCTGAAAAATTGTCAAGTATTGTTTACTGTTGGTATTTTATTTAAGAAATAATGATAAAGAAAACGTATGAACACGCTTATCGGTGAGAGAATGATGTTTCGTTAATAAAAATCAAAGGCCCAAAAATGATTTAAATTAAATACAGGTGCGGGCTGGATGAAATAATCCCTAAAAGATATTCAGCGCAAAATTTGTTGGAAAAATTTTGGGATTGACGACGGCTAAACTTAGGGCACGCTGGGAACTGGTAGCGAGGCAGTCTCCTTTCAAGCAACCACGACTCTGAATTGTTAAATTACATAATTTTAGTGATGCAGTAATGGTTATTGGGGATGGGGCAAGGTTGGCATGTACGCACCCTGTTTTTGAATTCCAAAAAATTCTGTTTTTATTGAACATAATTTATAGCATTGTACAAGGTTCAAGTAGTTTGTGGAAACCTGCCCACCCTTATAATACTTCTCCAACTCCTTCTGTCAAAATTATGTTTATCGCAAAACGCAACGTTGCGAGCTCAAAAAACGTCTTCTAAAATTGAATCCCTTCTTACGTGGTTACGCTGGATACCAATGTTGCAAACTGTTCACAAAACTATAGGAAAAAAGTTACAAAAGCTTCTTGCTGCTTTCCTTTGATGAGCATTTTAGTTCAAGAATATTATTTTATAGGACCACGTAAGGCATGTTGCAAGGATTAATCATGACAAACAGACAGCCTGTTTTTTCCATCGCAGTTAAAATTTCTTCTACAGAGAATAGAAGGGTTTGTGCGATCACTTTGTAAAGCATGTTGAACGAGGGGCTGAGACTAACAATTGAAAGATTTCTCAATGCCTTCTATTGATTCATAATCTAAGAACCCTTCATTGTAACCCCAAACTTTTCGTTATAAAAAATATGAAAGTAGTTATAGTCCAGGGGTGCCGTGGAGGAGGGTTCGTGAGGGTTCAGAGGCTCGAGAGGGCTAAGTCACCTTAACAAGCGATCACATGTTTGGTTGGACATAATAAAAATACAAATTTTCATACAGAATTAAACACTTCATCGTTACTGCTGTAATGTGCGTCTTGTCAAAACTACCAGAACCCTATATAAAGCCTATAAGTATGTACAAAAGAATGTATAGTTTATTTTAATAAAACCATGTATTACATATCTAAAATAAGAAAGTGTAAGTAAAATGTTGCTTAAGAAGCTGATTAACACAGAATTGACAAATTCTGTGTTGACAAATCTTTTATTATGCTATAGATTTACCGTGAATGAGCAATTTCCTAGCAGTATTTTTGGGTTGGTGAATAGTTTTGATGATTTCATATACGCAAAGGAGAACCTTTAACACAAATTCAAGTTCAGTTTGCAATAGTTTTGCGAGTATAGTTTGGGTTGGGTCATGGGCGGGTTTCTAGAGGTTGCTTGCATCGCATTTCCCAACTTTTTTGGACGGCCTCCCTTTTCAAGTCTTGGACAAAATACCAATTTCTAAATATCCTTGATTTGAACTTACCAAGAATAAGAAAAAGCACAATTTCCCCCAAAAACCAATGTTGGTTTCATTGTGACATAATTTGGAGATATATTGTAAAAAAGCAGCAAGTATTTCCATGGAAATATAGTTAACATTGGATTTTGGAGAGGGAAACTGTATTTTCTTGTTAGATATCTCAATTTTTGACCCAAAAACTAGATATTTAATCAGCTTGAATAGCGTGTTTCTGTAACGCGTTCTCTAGAAAGAAATGTCCCCACTCGTTGTGTCATTCCTTGCGCCTAACGAATACGCATTCTAGCTGAAAAATAATGATTCTGCAGGATTGATGTGAAATTCAGTCACAAGTCATTCTTTGATTTTGCATTTCTTACAAAAACAATACAGACTAAACATTAAGACTAAACATTAGGAGTTTTATACCATCAGCTAGAAATATCAAAATTAGAAAATGTGCTAGTGTAAGAAAACACAGCTCACAACAAGGGAAGAGAGATCAAATTTGTATTACGATAGGATAACCTGTTTAATTATTATGTTTGTTATGAACTGGTATGTTATGTTGTTGAAATTGGTTATTTTGGAAACCCATCCTGTACCGATAGGCAAATCGTGTTCGGGATCCGATCATATCAAATCAAATGCTAAATGAAAAAGGGTTTCTGAAACAACAGTATACATAATGATGCAAATATAACTGAATGACTAGAGTAAAGTCCAGTAGGTAAATTATTTGATTACTGTTTGCTTCCATTATCTTAAAAGTTGGCTTGGTTTAACAGTTTTAATTTTACCAAAGCTCTATAGCAGTTCATTTTTAATGTGAGTTTCTGGGGATACCAATCAACTTTATCTAAACTGCAAATGGGTGGGTGGCAAATGAATTTCAGCAGCACTTGCTTAAGATGTTATAATGTACAGAAATGAGTGATCGGCTTAGGGTGCAACACAAATCGGCTTAGGGTAAAGACAACTTGAATATGAGAAATACCGAAATGTATGCTTAGTAGAATCAGAGATTTGAAGCACAATAAGTATCAAAGCCTAAACATGCAATTACAAAAATATAAAGCTGTGATTTTGATACAATTAATTGTCTACATCCATAATTTTATATCAACTATCCATATAAACATGCATTTAGATGCTTATCAGAAATCGCACAAAAAAACTTTCTAAGCTGAAGACTAATGTATCAAAATATTGGTGTAGCCCATGCCTATTTCAATCAAATCCTGCAAATGGCTTTTGAGTTTCAAAAATTGCCTAGATGGGTTTAGCATCTCATAAAAAAAAACAATTTGGATGGTGCTAAACTGCACACTCCTTTTCTGGTAACACAAATTAATAAATTTTTAATGCATCCCTTTTTCAACTTTTGTAATATATTGGCTTGCGTAGAAATTGAAAAGTAGTAAGGCTAGGCAGAGGAATTCTGCTGATCCAAGGAATTTTATTTCCATTTTTCAGACCCTCCTGTTTTCTCCCTCCATATTTATCAAAAGTTGCTGTCCATCAAGACAGCTAGGGGAAGATTTCACATACCATATTCTAACCAGTGGCATAAGAAGCAATTCAGTGCCTCTTTGGAAAAAGTTTTTTCTACAGCTGAAAAATTTTAGAAAAGGAGAGGATGATTGAGTCGTACTAAAATTACATTCAAAATTGGATGCTTTAGATTTATTTCGTGCTTTGAAAGGTTTAAACTGTATCATTAGCCAAACAGTGAAAGATATTGGAACTCAGGTTGCTAACGGTATAATGCAGGAAGATATTAAGAGTAAGCGTCGATTTTGTTAAATCTAATATCCCTAGGCCAAACTAGAAACCAAAGTCTTGGGAGACAATTTTTTGTTGTATATTATATGATCCAAAAGACTAGTTAGATTTGCTTTTTTAAAGTTGTTTTCTTTGATTTGACACCAAATTTCTTGTAAAAACAACATAAACAGTATCTCATTTGTGTAATTATTCTAAACTGTTATTTATTCTGTTTATTCTGTTTTCATTATATACATATAGAAGCAAGAGACATTCGAAGGAAGGTAGCTGTAGTATTCAGTTCTAGCCTGGTGGGTCTAAATGAAAAGAATGGGGGGAGACATATTCGGGAGCATAAATGGGGTGGTATGACATGATATCAATATAGCCTTTTCCACTGAATTTTCATTAATTGTTAATTACAATCATCTATTCAATCGATAATTTAAGATGTGATCTAAATTTTCATCAATATCTTTGGTAAAGATTTTATAGACTTCAACTAAAGTCTTGATTCAATTTGAAGAAAAAAATGTACAGGAGCAGAATTAGACTTGCTGCTTAAGAATCCTTGGTAAGATGCTTTTGCCAAATCTAAAATGCAGTCTCTTATGTGGCACTTTCTCCAAAACATTGAATTTGTAGTAGTACCTCAGTGCTCTAGCCATCTTTTCATACGTCATCTTCTTCCTTTTCTTTGACTGCCCCCACAGATTAGCAATAAACTCCGTTCTTATAAGCTTGAATTCTCCGACGTCTTTGCGAGTCCACGCTATGTATTTTGGGCTATACTCGTCGTTGTTAAGCAAATCTAGTAGGAACTCCCACAAATGCAAACAGTGATTTGCTGAAATTCAAATGCATTGAAGAGATTTAAATAGGCATGTTTAGACACACAGTGTTTATCTTGTCCATAGTTTCTAATTTCGTGCATTTGTTTATTTTGGCCATACGATGAAGAACAAATCCTTGGTTACCGTGAAACATTTCGTATTAAACTTAGGAGGTGTATAGGATATGGCAGCAGACTAGAGCCCGGAGCTCAAGAAGGGCGTAGAGCCAGGGAACCTTCCTTTTCTGTTGGGGCATTAGAGTGCATTACACCCAATCTATTTTATAAGGACCAGATATTCTTTACTGAGGTTCAATGGTACTATTTTTGGGTAAATTGAAGCTCGGGTGTTTTCAATATTCTTATTGAAACATTGATTATTCTTTAACTACATAATATAAAGACATCTTGATAACAGTTTTAAATGACATGAATAATAGCACGGTTTATCAGCTGATAAAATCTGCTTTGTTTTGTTAATACGAAAGAAAAGTTTTCAAGCACATTGTCTTTCAACCAGTTTTTAATCAGAGGCTGGGCAGGTCCTTACACTGTTCTTATTTGTCAGAATATCAAGCCACAGTGTGCTTGTAAATCCTGCTCTTAAAAAAGAGTGTACTGCATGACTTGTTTCCCAACAGTCTTTTTAAGTAACATTGATCACGAGGTCTTAAATCTCTAACTATGTCACCAAAAACGAGATATCGATAACCGGATGATATCGATATCCCTAATCAAAATCTGGAATTTACAAAAAACAGTTTTCCTTATTCCAGTGCGAAACTGTGGGGAGGAATATCTTGGTATATAAGGAATAACCACCAGTTTCTGAATTTTTAGAGAAACTTAAGGACAATTTGCTACCTTAGCCTTCACCCTTAAGCACGATCCCTAGGAAGAGTAGCTGTTTACAAAGCATTTTATTGGCGGTATGTTGCAATTGCTTTCTTTGCAGTATGTTTGATAGATATGTTTACAAATTAAATAACTGATTTGGATTTGTGGGTGAATGAATCCTTTCTTGCGACTTTTGAGAGAATTGTTTGAGAACTATCTTGCTCTTTTTATAGCATTGCAGCCCTGGTGAAGGCAAAATATTCATTATTTGGGTGTTGCAAATAGGCAAAGTTTATAAGTACAAAGAAGATACTGTTACAAGCAGCGTGAGCATTTTGGCTTGGTCACGAAGGGGGCAGGGGAGAGATTTGTTTCAAAGCCAAAGAAATGGGTAAACCGAAAAAAAATCTAGGTACATTATCCTAAACCCCGTATTTCCACACCCTAAACAAAAGGCAATCTGTCTCGTTGTGGATTGGTTAACGAGAACAATAGCTGGAACAATAGCCTAAACACGATTCCAGCGTTCCGCCATATTTTTTACAATGCGATAAATTAAAGGGGAACTGGAAACAATAAAAAATCCCTTTGTTCTTATAATCAATCAACGTCGTGACAGATTGCCTTTAATATCCCTTGGCTACGATGCCACAGCATTCAAATCGCCCAAACTCCATTTCTGAATCCGACACTCTGCCTTCAGCTAAATTTAGCAAATATGGCAGCAGTAGATCAAATGTTTGCTGTGCCATGCTGTATCTTTAAGGGCATTATCAACAGCACCAGTCTGTTAATCCTATATATTTGGAGAATGTTGTCCTTCTCTTTAACCTTGTTTTTCAACTCAGTTTAACGAAACTTGTTTCTAACGTGTGCGCAAAATCGAAATTATTTGCGGCCTGCGCAGTGAAATCAGAGATAAAAACAAATGTTAATATGAAAAAGTCTTTAAATGAAGTAAATTAGGAAACATGTTTATCACTTCATAGTGAGGAAGGTATACCGTAAATCATCGAACTAGCTCCCTGAGGGCTTATTTATTTTTGACATTTTAGGATGGGGGCTTATTCGAGGGGGGGGGCTTATAGAATCATTGTTGACATTAAGAAGACATTATTAAAAGACCTCGTTTATTTAAGTACAAATTTCTTTATGAGCATTTAATTAATTACTACCAAAAGTATGAATTTGTTGTGGTAATTCAATAAAACGCCATAGGCAACCTCAGATGGCAAAAATCATCAAATTGAGGAGTCCAATTTGAGAATTTACGGTAGCAGTGGGGGCTTATTCCAGGAGGAGGGGCTTATTGACAATTTGTAGTTCTAGGGTGGGGGCTTATTCGAGGGGGGGGATTTTTCGAGGGGGGGGCAATTCGAGGATTTACGTTATGCCCCTATGACGTGTTTGAGTTAAACAAGCTCCATCTTGCACCAAAGTCAATGTTATTGCAGCTTTAGCGTCAATTTGATGCAATTCAACGTAGACAAGGTTCCAGCGTGTCGAGAATAACAAAATATTAACATGATGGACATTGAATAGAATTTCAGTGAAACTTAGAATTTTCAGACTAACTGTTTACCAACCTTGAGATGATAATTTTCATGGTCAGCCTTCTCTACTCTTAGGAATTTTGTTCAAGTTAAAGCAAAAAAAGTTACTGTTTCAAGGATAAAGATTGTGAAATCTTAAAGGGGAAAATTATATTTTTCCAACATCATGTTCCTTTCGCCAATCTATTGTATTTTGCTAACCTAAAAACGTACAAAAGCACACATGCTCTTAATTATTTGTTTAACAATTTTTCTGATTAGTAACAAGCATCAATTATGCTAAAAAATGTTGAAACTTTCAAACCTGCACGGACCACGCCTTCTAAATTGAGAAGACTTTGGTTGTTCAGATGCTTCTTTATGAAATATTTGTAAAGACAGAATAAAAGTTGGAAAACATAACGAGAGCAACCGGGGTTTGGGTGTTTTATGAACATATGCCCCCAGATTAGGAAAGCAGGGTGTACCCACTAAACAATAAAGTGTATGAACTTGAATTTTTTGACTTAAATTTACTTACGTTGAGTTCTTGGCTTGTTTTTCAGGCCTTTCCTTGAAGATTCTCGCGTGAAAATTTCTGCACAAAAAGAGAACAAATGAAATAAAAGCAATCGTCTGAGGTTAGTATGAAATTAGAGATTGTGGTTAGTATGAAATAAGAGATTGTGCGTGGTTATAGAGTAGTATCAAAATGCCCGCATTGTATGGTAAATTATACAAACTATTTTTACCAGACAGAAGACAAACGTTGGAAGTGACGAAGAAATGCAACCTGATACAGCCAGTTTTGATGACGAAAGCTTCATCAAGAATGAAGAACAGCTGTAGTAAATGGATGTCGGGTTAAGTAATTATGGAAAGTTCCTGAAGAAATAACCACCTGTGCCTCCACAGCTGCTATCGCTCTGTTGGCACAACGCAGCAACATAAACAAACAACAAGAGACAATCTGACGCGTGTGGCTTTCATTCTCCCTTTACGATGTATGTTATCTAGGGCACACAATTGGAGAAAGGCAGGGACGCATTGCCTTCTAATTTAGGACCAAGCCAAATTTGTTAACATTCCAGAAAGTTTCTAAAGATGGGGATGTGGCAGGTCCTCTTGCTACAGTATTTTCTCCAATTAGCGGACATCGTCGGGGCAAGAGCAAAGTATCTGCTAATTTGAAGTGTCAGCCTTTTGGAAAGTTTTGCTATGTGAGTCCCAAATTTGAAAATAAACCCGAATTTTGTATCTAAAAGGTGTAATCAGTGGTGGCGCCAGGGGAGGGCTAGCCCCCCTCCCCCCAAATCGGTGGAAATTTTAGATTATTGTCGGAGCAAATTTGACAAAATAACATACGAAAACTGCGTATTTTAATCATTTTAGTCCCCCTGTTGAAAGCTCAAAACCCTCTGTCGGAAGATTTCTGACGCCACCTCTGGGTGTAATCCGGGTAATCAGTGGCTTTCGGGTTGAACTTAGACACTAAAAAAGAAAAAATAACCAAACTAAACGTAACACAACTTTTTACAACAAGAATACTACTCCAGATTCTTTACGGAGATATTCACCAACTAGATTGTCAGGTGTCAAAGAGTTTGAAATAAATATTTCAACAAATATTCATTCGTCTCAGTTTTTTGTTCGCTGACTCCTAACTTTTTTGTATTGTCCGCTAATTCGAAAAAAAAGCCAACTTGACTATTTAATGCAAAAAATATTGTCCGTTAATTAGAATGTCCGCTAATTAAGTGTTCGCTTTTTAGAAAGTTTTTTATGAGACTTTGACCAGAAAACGATCGGGGAAAAAATTTGTCCGCTAATCAGAGTTGTCGGGCTTTTAGAGTGTCCGTTAATTTGAGAGAATACTGTATACTTAAGGGGCGTGAAATTTTTTCCCCGATGCTTACAATCGTGCTTATATGAGCGGGGCCTAAATATCTGTTTGATACCACCATTTGTTAATTATGTCAAAACTAATATCTATTAATATATATCTATTCCATTATTTTGACAGGCATACCAATGAACTCAGTTCGTGCTGAACTACAAAGCAGTTGTATTCATGTGAACTTCAGATTGCGAGGTTTGTAGACAAATTGCCTGACTTTTTAACTAATTTCATGCAAGACTAACAATCATTATCAGCCCGGGTTGTGCAAGATTTTGTGGAATGAAGCCCTTGTATATACCATAGATTCTCGAATAAGTGCTAACATGTGGTACACCCTTTCCAAAAGACCCATATCGAGAAATTATTTTTCCAGAAATGAAGCAGACATCATAGGGATTGGAGGAGAAGCTACCCCCTCCTCCAAATTCGACACAAATAAGAGGATGAACCTCGAAAACAACGGAAATGTAACTTGCCAAACCATTCAAAAAGCTCAATTTCCGTCTCAAAATGGACTATGAGCATTTTCATGACTGTTACTGGAGCGCGTAATGCGACTCTCTGTAAACCATTTGAATAAACCAAATTACATTAACAAAACCAAGGATGCAGACGAATTGAAACAGTCATTAGGTACACAAATGTGGTTTGCCAAAGATACATTGAATTGCAAATCTAAGATACCATTTCTTTTTTTCAAAAAAACCAAAAGTCAACCCACATAATCAACAGCCCAACTGAAAATCTGCTTATTCTCTATGAATCGCATTACAAGACAGGTTTTAAAAGGACTGGTTTGAAACCTTTCAATTTCGTGGTTTCAACAGAACATTGTTCTTGGGCTTGAACAAAAGGCAGGATACTGAAACCGTGACGCCAATAAACATCGAGATACCCCTTATTTGAAAAATAAACGCTGCATTGAATGCAGAAAGCCTTCCAATCAAACAAAACTGCCCAACTGCTTATCATTGACCTTGTATTTCAATTTAACACCCAACTGAATTCTTTTATTCGTTACAATTTAAAGCTAGTTGTTTTAGTAAAATAGAGTTGAATTAGCTATACCGCACTCCTGGTTGAGGATGAATTGTATGCAAAGAACTCTCTTTCAAATAATATCGAACTAGTTTCAGCAAACAAAAACAAAACTTACATTTTGGATATAATGGCAAGTAAAACGCCAGCTGTCACCCCTAACCTACAAATTGGCCTGTGGTGCCCCTCTATTGACTGGGTAACACCATTGAGGAACGTTGGTTCCGTGACCACCAAACTTAGAATGCTCTATTTCTTTTCTAGTTGGTGATGTTAGAGAAAGGCTCATGAGCCTATAGCTAAGCCCTGATAAGGTAAAGGGAAAATGAATTAGGAAGCGAGAGAGGAAATATCAAGTTTGTTTACTTTTGTTTTGAATAAAGACAGGTTGTAAGAGTCTGGGAAACAGAAAGGGGGTAGAACATTCCAAAGTTTACAAGATCTAGGGACGAAGAAAAGAAGGTTCTTGTGAGAGTTGAAAGTAAAAGTAAAATTAGAGCATGTTGAAAAATTGAAAGAAACGTTTGGTCTGGCAAGGTTAATCATTTAAGATTAAAGAATTGTCTAGAATCAGCAAGTCTCGGTGCACTCAAATTGTTTCAATGAAATTTAGAAAGGAAAGTTTTTGTAAAATTTTTAATGCTGTCCACATTTGGCCATGATATAAATCTGAATAAAATGTCGAGAGCAATAAGGGATATTTCATAAAAAGTGATTTTGAAAAAAGCAAACATTTAGTGAACTAAAGCTTTTCGTCTGACACTCTTCAGAGTTTAAAACGTCAGAACATAGACCGAAAACGCTACTTTAGGAAATATATATACGCAGTTGTGGATCGAAATAGGCCAATTAAAGCCATTTTCAAGTTATGTACCACCAAAAGATTGTTTAAAAAGTGATTTGCAATATTTTTCCTTGTGAAACTTTAAGTGTAATGTGAAACAACAACTTGTTATCCTTTAAACGAGAGATCAAACATGGAATTCCATATTTCTTCCTTGATTAAAGTTGAGTCAAACAATATAAATGCTGGAGATTGAAAATAGAAAACAGGAACAAACAGAATCGTTAAAGATCAGATAGAAATACAAACTATTAAAATGTTGATCAAAAATGAACCTGCATTTAGTAATTGCAAATTTACAACATAGCCAACCTAGTCATCATTTTCAATTGATGCAAGAAGGGTGCAAATGCAAACGGAGCTTCAGGGGGGTGTTCAAATTTGTTACCAATTTTTGGGGCAAAAACGAGACTAACTTTGGCTCAGGAGATTAGTGGACTGACATCTCGAAAACCGGCATGATTGTGGTTGTTCTTACGCATGATTTCTATCAGTTTAATTTTCGAGCTGCTACCCACCTCCCCAGTTTCATAGGCTCTTATACAGGCCCGTAGCCAAGGGGTGGCATGGGTGCCAATGCCACCCCTGGAGCAAGAGAGTGCCAGCTGTTTGCTATTCCCGAGAATCTTTTCTCTACATTTTTAATGTTTTTCTTCGAGGTCATTGGATTGCTGTTCAACCTAATACTGGAAGAAGGAAAGATGCTTATTGGGGTCTATTATTACCCATGTAGAACTTAAGATTATGCCTGGTGCTCAAAATTTTTTTTGCTGTCAAGCAAAAACTTGACGCTACTTGGGCGCTTCTCAGAAAATTGCTGAAAAAAAACTGCCTGCAACACAGTGGTCAGGGCATTTCTATATCACAAGTCATGTGAACAAGAAATTTTGTGGACAATATTCTATAGTATAGACACCAATTGGATCAGTGGTCAGGAACATTCAGCGAAAAAGGGCCTTTGTTTACTAGCACTGCGATGATTTTGTCAGAACCGACAGTGATATTGTCAGTATCAGTATTTTTTCCCACAAACTCTAGCCACCGCCCCCCCCCCTCACCCCTACAAAAGCTAACTTCGCTAGCATTGAACACAGGAAGTTTGCCACCCCTACCCCACACCCTGGCTCGGGTTTGCTCTTGTACCCAAAGAATTGAAGGGCGACCCATATGAATGAAAAAGCATACAAGCTAACTATTTTGATTAATATCTACAACAAGCAAGACTTTCTTGGCATGAGATGGAGAAGATTTGTGGCTGCAAGCTGGATATTTCAACCTGCGTGGAACTAAAAGCGTGTGAAGTTTCCACACCTTGAATATCGAAAACTGCTTACAACATCAAGAATCTTTTTAACGGCTTGGATAAAAAAATTGTTGAAATGTTATGACTGTGTGAACACCTTTTTGGGAAGGTTCAACAGACCACAAACAAATTAAGTTGGCCCCAACAAATCTGCCAAAGCTAGAGCATGTTGAATGTTTGTTTTGTCAGTTATCAAGTTTCGATCAGTATAGAAACATTAAAAAAAACTACCTACCGTCAGAAATAAAGCCAGAAGTTTGTCCATTTGCATCAAGTACGTTGTTAACTGTTTCTGTGGCATAAGCACAAACTTTGTCATTGCTGTTTGACGAAATACTCCATTGTTCAATATTTTGATTCGAAGACACGCTGGCCAATGCTTCTGTAGAGGGTGACAAATCGATATTTGTTTTGCACTCTAGTTCATTTACATTCAACGGACTTTCAATCTTTCTATTATAAGTTTCTTGGTCAGATAACGATATTTCCTGCTTGCTTTTTGTATAACTGTCATCATCAGCATCAACAGGGGTATACGGACGAGGTCTTATGATGATATCCGGGCTGTTACCAGTGTCACGCAAAGGTGAGGCACCATCGCACATCGATGGCAACTGATCATGAACTACAGAGACATCACGAAGGCACGGATACCGTCCCAAATAAACGCCATTTTTCCCACACTCTGCCCTTTCTTTATTGTAAGCTTTCCTCATACTGGAAGTCAACTCATCGAAATCGAGCTTTGCATTATCCCAGGCATCAATATTTTCACTCGAAAATGCATTTGAAGAACCTAACTTCGATGTCATGTGTTTCAGATCACATGGTATCGATGTTACGTTCTTTGCATGTAAATAATCGGTAGGATGACTCTGGTTTTGTTTCAGTACACAAGTTGATGAAAGAACGTTGGATACAGAACAGTTACCTTTAGCGGTTGTTGTGGCATCTCGAGTATCGAAAGTATTACACGGAGCAGAGTTGGAAGAAAAGGTATTGATCCTTGTCCATAACTCTTGGAGATACCCGATATCAATCAAGTCGGTGAGCAAGGAAGTATTACAGCTCTCCTCTACATTCTGCTGCAAAACGAGCTCGATTTCCTTCCAAGTGAATAAAAGCTCTTCGGGGCGATAGCGCGTGGCACTAAACTCATCTCCACAACGGCGCCCGATTTCGAAATCAGCAAGTGCCCCTGAGAAATTAGCATCAAGATTTGCTTGCAAATATTTCTGTTCAAAACTTTCTCTGAATATCACTTTCATAACCTGTTTGTGTAGCACAGACGGAAGCGAGCACGATTGACTCTGCAACCCTTTTGCTTCAATCTCTGCATTCAAAACAAGGCCATTGGCTGAGGAAGTCGTGTTGACATCAACAGGTCTACAAATTGCATCCTTCGTGGAAGGATGTTTGTTAATGTTTGAAGGTGGAACTAGCTCTGCTTCCTCGAAACAGCCTTTTCGCAGGAGACCATCAATTACTGGACTATCTTTCAGGACAAAACGGTCATGTTTATCATACAAAACTTCGTTGCCTGTTGCGTTCATTTTATTTCTTGACTGAGCAAGTCTTGCGTGTCTGCCTCTTGCCTGGAGATTCAGTGGTGAATGGCGACTAGGCAGCAACGTATTACCGGACATTGGTCCGGTTGAAGTAGGTCCTGGCTGAATTTGTTGCCGAAAAATTGTTTGGCTTTTTTCGTACAAGGCAGAGTGAAGAATATTATTGCGTGGAGACTGTCTTTGGTGTGATTGACTGTCCAGTGACAGAGACTGCATCAGTCTGTCATTTTGATAAACAGTAAATACCTGTTTTATTTGCGGCAGAAAAGATGTAGATCGCATATTAACCGTCGTCTGTTGCTGATCCATCTATGATATCCAGGATCAGTTGCCAACAACGGTCGCTCCCTCCAACAACAATGTTTCCTTCAAGCCTTAATCAGCAACAAAGCTAAAACATGTATTCTTAAACGTAGGAACATACCAGTTATTAAACATAACACTTACAGGATTCATCGAGGTATTAACGTCGCTAATGCTTGGATTGTTGCTTTCACTGCCGTCCTTCGATGCAGATCTCTTCCATGTTTGTACACAGTAGCTGCAAATTTGATACCACTAAATACATAACGTGTACTCACATTGTTCCAATTATCCATGCGTTATACATGGACTTCCGCTGCAATGGGTAACCTATGTTCAAGTAGAATTTCCTTACTTTCGACCAGTATCCCGTACTTTATCGTAAATACGAAACCGGTTTCTCGCTGTCGAAATAATGTCGATAACGAGCTCTTTCTGTTTAGAGACTTGAATATAATTTGATTGTCCTCGTTCTCGTCACAGCTAATAGGGCTGTATTTATTCAGTTAATTCTTCATTCTTTGTGTTGTTATTCCAGCACCAAATTAGGCCAGTCGATAATCAGATCTAAAATTGAAAAAGGGTTCAAATTGTTTCAATTTAAAACAGAAACTTTCTCAAGCAGCAAATATTCCTCCAGGGGGCGGATACACACAGGCAGTAGCGGCGCCACGGGGGGGGGACTGGTGGGGACACGTCCCTCCCAGTTCTCAGCAGAATCGAGTTTGTTTTTCGTCTAAATTCGATGAGAAAATGTTGGAGGAGGGGTAATATTTTGACACCGTACTTTTTGTGATGTAATCCTATGATTTTCAAATTGCCAATTTTCAAACAAAAGTTAGTCATAGGCGCTCCCTTCAGATAAAATTTGCGTTCCCTGTTGGTAAAATGGCGTTTCTGGTGGTTAAAAGGGCGTGGCTTAACTTTTTTTGGTTTGTCCCCTCTAGAGCTTAGTGGCTGGCGCCGCCATTGCACCCAGGGACACATAAAAAGGAGGGTTGGCCTAAAATCGGCCGTTTTCTAGACATTTGACCTACTTATCTAACCTCAATGTTTGCATTCATGCATGCACTCTTTTTGAATAATAGTATGAATGTTGTCAAGCCTTGATAACATATTCTTATGGGCCTAGATATATTCTGTCCTCAAATATAAACCACGCTTTCTGAAAAAGCGAGGTCATTCAGTCAGTCAGTCAGTTATTAGACAGACAATGATTCTGTGCCTGCATATTCTTTAAACAATATTCTCATAAAAAAGAATGTACTTTAGACATTTATACATTCTTTTTATATGATAACGCACAGCTCATCCTAAATTAACACAAATTAACTTTTTCTTTAATTACAAATTAACAAACGACGAATGGAAAAGAACAGCGTTTTTCAGTGTTTACAGAATGATTTGAGTTATTTCACAAGTTTTTCAATCGCAATGTTTAGAAATAAAACACTTGAACTGTCACGGGACAATTTTTGTGGTCCATCTGATTTCTAATCTCTCTTTTCAGCAAAAATGGTCATGGTGGTAAACATTAATTTTTCTACAACTTAATTCAATCAATTGTTTCTAAGGCCACCAAATAAAAGTTTTGCATGAAACTTTTAGAAGTACTGATGAACAACTGAACTCTATCTACTCTGCTTTCTTCACAGGTGAGTAAATTTTTAAAATCACATTGATGTTTAAAATCCGTTGCGTGTAACAGAACCCCGAAATGAAACCAATACAATACGGAATAGAAACGGTATCGTGGAAACAGGGCCTCGTTTTTGTGTCAGTATTGGCCTTGTCACAATGGCAGATACGAAGTGAACCGTTCTCTTTCTTTTTTAATGAGAACTGCGGCTTTTAAGCAAGATCGGCTTCTATTCGAGCCCAGGTTTCTATTTGAGAAAATACGGTAACCCAGGGACAGCGCCACAAAATTGAAGCTGGGGGGGGGGCTGAGAATAAGGTTTAGTGACATAGGAGGACCCACCGGATGGGTCCGATGCGCAAGAAAAAATTTTAGAATCCAGCCTTTAAAATGGCAAAAAAACAATCTCCCAGAATAAAATTTAACAAATTACTATACCGCTAAGAATTGTACATACTATAAAATTCGACGATTCTCAGAAAAACATTGATTATTGATTTTTAATTGTTATTTTTTATACTCTTTTCAAAAATAGTTAAAAAAGACGGTCAAAATTTTTATTTTTGAAAAAGTAGGGGGCTTCATCCCCCGAGCCCCCCTCCCAGTGGCGCCGTGCCTGTAACCACAGTCGGAGACCCCCAGTCGCTATGTGGTATCCACAGTTCACGGGCCGTTTTGCAGACCATCCGGCGAAGCATTTCGCGGACCGTTGCGCGGAAGTCGCGGACCGTTTCGCAGACCGTCTCGCTGCTTTGTAATTAACGTCATGGGCTTTTCATTGAGTAATTGTCTTGTTCAAAGCAATCTGGGGAGCCTTTGCCACCGCTTCAAAATCTAATCAAGACACCTGAGCCGACGAACAATATAATTCAAAAGGGAATAGCTGTTTATAGAACCTAATCTTAATTATTACGTAAATCATTTCACAGTTCAATGGCCTCATCTCAAACTGACAAAAGATTGCCAGTCCCTGACTATGTCGATATTGCATTTCTTTGCATAAGTAGCTTTTTATAGCGAGGATTAACAATAAAAGAAACATATGGTATTGAAAGGGGCATGAACAGCGACAGCAGAACCAGAGGCCACCAAGGGCTAACACGGGCCACCAAGGGTCACCAGGGGCATGCATCCTGCAATTTATTAAAAAATGTCAAAGTAGTCCACTCTTTGGAATTGTTGACATGTGCCCCTTCCTACCTGTGCTCCTCCAACTTCGAAAATCTTCTGACATCCCTGCTGCTGAACTCTTCCCAGTTTTCGTAGCTGCAAATATGTGAAAGCCCCTGTTTTACCCCATTCCCCCAACTATCAACAAATCCTCTTTTTTGCCTTTTGTGAAACAATGTTCTGTATAGTTTTCTATAGCTTTTTATTCTGTATTTTTATCTATAGCTTTTCAAAGCAATAAATAAATTAGCACAGAGCTAGTAAGTGGTTTCTTTATTATCTGATAGCTAAGGCAATAGTCATCATTTCTAAGGCAATAGTCATCATTTCTACCATTTTTAGCCTTTCAAAGGTGAAGAATTTTGCCTCTTCACACCTGACAGACATGGATATTATTTATGGTCAACTTTTTTCTGTTTCTCTAACTCATATATCCACAAATTTGTAGGACATTTTGTCATAAAGAATTGCTTGGTCCTCACAGTCACTCAGCCTTTAGGAATTGCTAACAGCCCAAGCTGTTCCATTTGCAGACCAAACTAGAGATGAAACACCAGATCAATGTTTTGCATTTTTTGGTGTCATCCAGAGTAGAAGAAAAAAAACCAAAAAGTTGAAAGGGGCACAGGCACGGCTATGAAGTAGCATCAAATGCGGGCTGAAAGAGTGCTACAAACAAGGTCCAGAGGCATACCACCCCAGAAAGAATTAAAATTTAGGGTTACTTACTTTGCCCGGGTAGCCTCTGTGGGACCTCTTAGTCGGGAAAAAAAGTTAGCTATCAATTTTTCCCAACTATAGACCTACTGTCATTCTCGGTTTGATTCAAATAAAGAAAGCACAGTCTTAAAAGTAACAGGGCTTTTAAAATGTACCATGGGTATCATGGGAGCAACAGCACCCAATAATAGGCAAACTGTGTTCTTAAACAGAGTACTGAATGGAAAACAATTGAAAAGAAAACCCCTACAATGGATGTTGCTTGGGACTCAAACTTGTAACCTTGGGCAAAGGAACCACAGAGCTTTCCATTCTACCAAACTAATCCTTTTCCCCAGGAGTATTCTGTGATACTCCCTTGCAAACAAAGGTGAATGCCCCGCCCCCCAAAGGCTGGCGAGAGGATCTGGAGGCCCTGGGGCAAAACTGAATTACACATCCAAAATGCAGACATTGCAATGACACAGAAAGTTAGCTACTGAATGGATGCAACTAAGAGACAAATAATAGAAATATACCTAAATAAATTAGTGAAATTCAGTCTGTTAATTTTTTATACTCGTTTTTTACTTTTTATACTCCCTGAAAGACAAGGAGCACTGTGGGCAAAACGAGAACAGACATTTTTTGTGACCACACCCTTCAGATTAGCATAAATTTGAGGTGAACAACACGAGGCCATGTCAAATGCATTTACAAAAGGAATAATGGAAAATTTATGCCAGATTTGCTAATATACCGACCCACCAAGAGGAAGGAGAGTGTACTGAAAGTTTATGACATTTTTTAGTTAATTCAAGAAAATTTCTAATATAGTTTTCTCAAAATTGGTTATGGTATATACAGTAACAACAAAAATCACAGTTTAAATAATGTCATCATTGGACCAACCTGTTTTGTTCAAACCCCAAGAAAAGATATTTCAAGGTCTGCTTATTTGGAACTGATAGATTTAATTTTTTTAATAGAATTATGAAAAATGGACGAATTAAAAATATACAAAACTGATATTTTCTAAGTAATATTGAGTTTCAGAGACTGTCCTTTAACTAGAGTAATCTCAAACTAACAACAAATCTTCTTGAATAAAAATGTGCAAAGTAGCCATTTTTTTGTTTTTTTTTCAGATCAATTATCATGAAAATTCATCTCAGTAAAAAACTGTTAACAGCTTGATCCACTGCTATATTTGTATGCTTTATTGTCTTTCAGGTTATTAACGCACCTTTGGTTCAGGACTGCAAAGATTTGAAGGAAGAACAGTTTTTAGGTGGTGTTTGTTTTGAACCCTCAGGCAAACGAAATAACATTTTGAAGATTGCTACTGCCATACCATTTTGCATTTTGCTTAGGTCCCATCCACATCAAATTTGTAGATCAATGTCCGATATTCTAAGAGGTAAATTTTCCCAGTGCCCCGGAAGCAACTTTCCGAGAAAACATGCTAAGAATAAGGTATTTTTTATTTCAAAATTGCACATCTTGATTCCATCTACAATCACTGCCAAAAGTCTTGGAACACTAACGTAGGTTTCCAAAGGCAAATACAGCCATCCCTCTCCCCCTAGGAACAATGTTGATTAACTATAGCAAAATTAAAAGGGTTATGGAGTATGCTTTTTCTTGTGGCTTGTTTGATATTTTTCTTTACTTTCAACATTGTTTTTGGGGGAAAGGGGGACGGAAGTAGTAGTATTCGAGAAAACAAATAAAAAATAGAAAAACACAGCGCAAAGTATTTACAATGGGTCGGCACAAGATGTTCTCAACAACTTGTCGGCTCTAGGCTTCAAATGCCAAGCAAGTTAATTAAAGTGTTAAGTACGATAAGCTGCCAATAAATTCTACTTCAGATTTTTCCAAAGCAGCTTTGAATTCCTTATACCTGTTTCTGTTGTATGTTTGTTAGTGCTGGCTTTCCAAATAAATCAGGTATAAACGAATCCTGAACCCCAAAGTATTTCTATTTTTATTAAGGATATTCAGTGCCTCATCTTTCGTTACAGTTAAAAAAACAAAAACGTCTAATTCTGGAAGCTTTCAATCAACACCGAGGTTCTGTCCACCAGTTTCACAATGCTTAGCATTTCTGTTGTCAAACTAACTATTTTGACATAGGCCTGCCCTAAAATGATCCAAATTTAACACAAAATGGGGCTTCTTGAAACACGAATACCATTACATAATAAATACCATTACAGAGCCGGGAAAATAAATGTTATTGCGAAAACACCAAAGAATCTAAAATTATAACCAGTCTTTCTCAGTCTCTTTAATAATTTATCGATAAGTTACCTTGGAGTACGAGGAAGACCTCTTGTCTTGCGAAGGTAGTGTGACTTTTGCAGACTTGTCAACAACCTTTAACCCTATCCAATTTCGAGAGAGGAAGTATATTCGAAAACAAAAGAACCAAATCTGTGGAAAGCCCGTATTATTTGCCAACAGGAAGTGCTGGGTTTTCGTCACGCCCTATTTATCCGGGGGTTTCAAGAAAATCAAATTTGACGACGTTTCTGTTGCAAATGGTTCATGAATTTATAAAAATAATACAAAATCACAACAACTGGGACAAGACACATTGAGTCTTGTAGAGGAGGTTATTATTTATCCTAAACAGTTTGTGACTTTGGAGAAAAGTGCAAAAAATAATTCTGTAACATTGTTTTTCCATCAATTTTAAAGAAATATCACTTAAATTCAGTCTTAATACTAGTTTTTTGTGATAAGAATAAAAAGTTTTGCAAAGCTTGAAACATCTGCTCTCTGCATAACCCCCGGAAAATTAAGGACAATGCAAAGTTCAACACTTGAGACCTTTATTTGATCCAAGAACAATTTTCTTGGAAAATGATACTTGGGGAAACTTGCTTCCAGATAAATGGTCCGTGGATTTCACAATTATGGTATTTTTTGTATGATTTAACCAATTTTTACCGTCAGTTAGAACAAGTAAGAGAATTGGAAACAGTAACAATAAGTAAGTACCCCATTGCAGGGTTGTAATGCTATGAAGAGAAGAAGTGGCACCAAAATTTTATTAAAAGCAATAGCAAAATGTAGAAAGGGGGCCGGGGGTAACTTCCTCATACACGGGAACCAGAGGCACCGGAAGCTTTGTGATAATAAAATATAATAATTTAATCAATTTATTTACAGGAGGCGGGTATACAGTACAATTTATGCACAAGCAAATTTATGCCTACTTTACAAAAATTTACAATAAAAAGCAATTAAGAATGAAAAATTAATAATGACAATTAGTTATATAAAATTAGTTATTATAATTAGTAATATAATATAAAACAATTGGTTAATTGATGAAAGAAATGAAATTGAAGATTAATGAAATTGGAGATTGAGATGCGGCGGGGGCAGGACCAGCAGAAAGGGCACCTTGGGAGTATCAAAGTTTGCTGCTGAAACAGATCGGGAATCGTCGCTTAGTCAATGACGAGGCCTGGTTGTAGGTGAAAGCCTTGTCAAGAGAGAGAGGGTAGGTATTCTGGGGGCGTAGCCCCTAGGGAAGTTTTGCATTGCTACGCCCTAAAGACTGTCGGAAATGAAGACAACACCGATGAAAAATATGAATCAAGACTACAGTCAAACTTCTTTCTCAAAATTTTTTTCACCACAACATCAACTATCAAGGGAGGCTGGACCCAAACCTACTTTTTAAAACAAAAATTTGTTCTGATGACCATCTAGCTACATGGCTTGATATCGCCTTTCTCCCCTGAACTGACTCTTTTTTTCCTTCTTTGTTTAAAGTTTGTACAATCTGCAGCTATATTAAAACTAAATAAAGCCAACTAATTTAACTAGTTACCAACGCTAAATATAATTCAAATCAAATATAACTGATGTTGTTTTGAGCGATGAAAATTCTGAGGTTTTTCTCTTTAACTTTTGTAAAGTTGGGGAGTACTTATTTCGTTTGGAACTGAGTTCCATATTTGGCTCGATCTGTTTGACAAAGATTTTGAGAGCAGAAGGAATAATATCACTCTATTATTATTGTTAAAAAGGCTGTTACATGAAGCCTGATCTAGATGCAATAGATACAATATCTATGTACACTCTTTTTTTATAAGAACCAGTAAATTTGAGTTCAGGCTGACTGTTCTAAATTTTTTCGAAAATCTGAGGCTGGATTGTTCTTAATTTGTTGTTAATCTAATAGGGTGTAAGCAGTGCGAGTGCTAGCTTTTTCACTCTAGGGAGGTGTTCAGGCCTCATTTGCCAACAAAGTGAGTGAGACAACCTTCAGTTGCCAAAAAGTTTGGATATTCGACGAAAAAGCACCCACACATCGCTAAAAATCCTCGATTTTGAGAAAAAACGTTGTTTAAAATTGTATTTTGTAGAAGCTCAGCCTCAGCTTGTTCTTAATTTGTTCTTAACTTTTGACCCATTTTGAGGCTCGTGTTCTTATAAAATTGTTCTTATTAAAAAAAGAGTGTATCAGTTTCTGGCTTAGTTGTGTGTAGTGCCGCCGAGAGTTCGGAGGTCCCTTTCAAGCGAAGCGAGCAGACAAATTTGGCGACCATGCCCTTTAGGTTACCTAAAGATTCATTTCAGAATATATTTTGCAGCCACCTTTTTGCAATCGTTCAAAAAGTTGCAAAAATTTCTCATGTCTAACTTATTGCTTTCACAAACTGGAAACCTTGAGAGGGCCCTAAACCTCAAAGCCCATGGCCAATTTTCCATAGCCACTACCTTTTTCCTTTTCTTTTATTTATAATATTTTATTACAAAACCCTATCAGCTACTAAGTCCAAAAAAGTAAATATTAATTTACATATAAACCCATTCTTCCTAGGGATCGTGCTTCGGGAAAGGATGCTAATTTTGCAGGAATTTAATTACTCTTTGGACGTGGTAATCGTGGAGCTCATCTTTATTTGTAATGGGATTTTGTTCCACGTCTGTGCACCACAATAGAAAAAGCTCCTTTTGGGGAGTTCTAGGTTTACCTACCCCTTTCGATAACCCTTGTATTGTTGTGAGCTTGTTTTGGTGTTTCTAAAAGAAGAGCGAAAACTTTTTTTTAGATCATCGCCCCCAAAAGGTCATCCCTTTGCTCATTTCGTATGGCACCAAAGCAATTCAAGGGCACTTTTTGGTTATGCAGTTGGCAAAAAGAGCAACTCGGTGAGCTGCAAAGGGGCAGGTAACCTAAATTTTGGAAAGAAGGGGATATGTGCTCACTGTACCTCCCGGTTCCTATGCTTTTAAGAAATCATTGATGCCTTGACTGATATATCAAACATATACGAGCCAACGTTGATAGAATCTGAAATCCGTCCAGTATGATCATGAAAGTTTGAGAGAACTTATCAACGAAAATATTTTTGGTGGTCAAATTGCCTTGCAAATCTATTTTCAAATCTCATCAAAATGGAAAAATACTGATTTTTGTCTTGCATGTAGGTAACAAGAGATGATTGAAACTTAGATGTTATTAGCATTAAAAATATTTATATGAATGGACATTGCTTGGAAATCAATTTCTTGAATAGAGCACTTAGCTGCCCCCGCTGCCCCCGTGGCCCCGTGGCAACGGGATGTACCATTTTTGGGGTACATGTAAAAAATAAATATCTTGGGTATCGGTTTCAGTAAAATAGCAGAATCGCAGATTTTAGTTGTACTTTTAGATCTGCAAGACCGAGGTGGCTGTTCTCTTTAGGAATGGGTTTTGTTTCTAATATTAGACGGAACATGTTTTTTATTCTAACCTCCAATCTTTGGGTAGTGCGTCCTACATAGCCAGAATCACACTGGCACGTAAATTCATATACAACGGAACTTTTTTGTGAGGCAGGAACGCAGACCTTGTGAATGGACGGAAGGCCTTTTTCGTACTATAAACAACACGTGGGTTGACGGCAAAGAAACAATTTGTGATGGTATGTAATGGTTTTATTTGGCTTTCAAAACGTCGGGAACTCTCACCGATCCAGGGTAGTTTTAGATAGACCGGGCACTTTTTAGGACCAAATTTTACGTCAGCCGAGAAATTTCCTATCTTCTCCTTAATGTAAACTGAAATAACATCCTCTGGATAGCCGTTCTCCAGTAAGGTCTTAGTTAGTTTTTCAAGTTCCGAGTCGAGTTTAGACTTGGAACAAATCATCAGTGCCCTATGTGTAAGGGTTTTGATGTGGCTAATTTTTCTCTGTTTTGGGCAAAACGAACTCCATCGAGTGTTTAACCCCGAAAATTTGGGTTTACGGTATACACAAGTGAGAAATCCAGTGCCAGATTTTTCAACCAAAGCATCTAAAAATGGCAAGAAGTTATTTTCTTCCTTTTCAAATGTAAACTGTAGGGCTGTGTGAAGGCCATTAAGGCGTTTTAGGAAAGTATCACACTCAGCCTCTGTTTTGAAAATGGTATATGTGTCATCCTATTTCGATCCGCAGCTGGGTATATATATTTCCTAGCGTAGAGTTTTCGGTCTATGTTCTGACGTTTTAAACTCTTAAGAGTGTCAGACCAAAAGCTTTAGTTTACTAAATGTTTGCTTTTTTCAAAGCCATTTTTAAAAATATACTTCCCACATCTAAATACAGCATCAGAACGGAAGCAAATCTCTTGACATGATAAAAAAGGTCACGAACACTTCATAACATAGCATAATTTCCAGACAGTAGAAACATTGACAAGTCTAATTTGTTGTGAAAACCCCTCTACAGGGGCGGATCCAGCAAAAAATCTGACTGAGTTCCAGGCCTAGGCTAGGATCTTTCAGGTAATGCATTGATAATTGTGCCTAAGACAATATTATTATTCATATTTATGCGTTTTGATACCAGGGGGAGGGAGGGGTAGGTACTATTCACTCACTGAATCTAGATAATATATTTCTTTCCGACAGAAACCAGTGCTTCTGTGAAAATTTCTGCAACCCCCTCCCTTTCTAAAGACCCTCTTGTTTGTCTTGGATGCCACAGCAAAGTTTTTCCTTTTGTTTTGCTCGCAATTTGTTGTGTTGCCTACGTAGACACCAGCCTATTTTTTCCAAATTTTGTGTTCAGTCTGACCATAGGTCTCTCTTGCCATCAACGACTTAAATTTAAAATAAAGGTAGTTAGCTCCTGGAAAATTAACGATACCTTCTGGGTTTTTCTCAAATTCTGCTAGAATGCTGCGAGGGTCGTGAAAATAAGACATCTGCAGTTATCATTTCGAATTCAAAGTTTTGCAGTTCCACAACAGATCAGAACACAAACAATAGGAAGCCAATCAACAAAAATAAAAATAAAATAAGATTCAAGTTTTTCAAGTTTTGTTCTAAACATGTGTGAACCGGCGGCCTTTCGGTATAAACAACGCCAAATGTTGAATCATTGATGGGAAGAAAAAAAATAGGTAGCCAATCAACTACTGGCTATTGTACAGCTCTTTTAGAAATATGGTATCATTTCCGAGTTCCAGATGCTGTTTTGACTGAGTTCCATCCGTGTTCCAAACACTTCCGTCCGAGGCACAAAACTTTTATTTCTGAGTTCTAGGATTGACTGTTGTTGTCCTCAACAGCGTCTGGAAAAATCGTTTCAAAATCACTACAGAGAAGAAGGAAGGAAAAGGGCGAACGAATTACATCAAACTGGGAATTTTAAGATTTTGAAGAGACTGTGATAAAACTTATAATTTCTAGGTTACACTTT